TCCCTTTTCAATGAATTAATATAATGTATTTAACATACCCAAAGAGCGTCCAAATCCGAGGACCCTTGGCGCACGATTATGTGAAAGATTCTGAACCTTACTCGTATTAAAAAAGCATTAAAACACATTAAAATAAAGAGAAGGAAGAGAAAGGGTGAGTGGGGAGAAATAAAACCGAATTTCTTGCTATTGCTAGTTGTGTTAGAAAATTTTTGCATTTACAGCATTCGTATATATATACCACTTATTATCAAGAGGTTTTTGAATGTACAATCTAGTCACATTTTACATAGCACACATAGTAGTAGTACAAAAACTACAACAGTTGGGAAGAAAAGAAGGGCAAAAGAGGCAAAAAGAATTGCGTTAAGTGCGCAAAGTGGCCACGTACACCCCTCTTCTCGGCGCTCCTATATGAACGGGTTCCCTTACTTATAAAACTCTTGGGGGTGCTGCTTGCGGAGCAGCTTTCCGAGTCTCAAACCAGTATCAGAGAAACTAGGCCCGTTAAAAGTTGGACGATGACGACGCTGAAAACGACGACGTAGACGACGCGTTAGCGGCGCGCAAAACAATCTGGGCGTAATAGGCAAAGTTCTTCAGCAGCCGCGTGTGCGGTGCAAGCTGCACAATGCCCGTAGCCGTATACACACGCAGCAATAGCAGCAGAAACGGCTATACTCCGCACTTAGACTTCCTTGCTGCACCTTTTATTATTTTATATTTGCACGTGTGTCTCTGGCAGCCATATATACATTTCTATCTATCTCTCTCTCTCTCTCTTTTTCTTTTAAACGACTAGGTGAAGATAAGAGAAATTATACAGAAGTGAAACAGCTACGTTAGAAAAACGTCGCTAGGCAAAACTTTAACTTTTGCAGCTCCCTTATTGCTGTGTAAGACTATACTACTCTGAGGTACGACAATTACACGTACTTATATTTGACATGTATTATATATTAAGCCTTGTAGTCAGTCAAGTAATGGACAAAGCCCAGGCCCTGCATGGAGCAAGTTCTTTGATAGAAACGCCTTACATAAAAAAGTAGAGCAGATTTTTAGTCGAACATATGGATAGGATTATAGAAAAAAAGCTATGATAATAAGAAAAACGATAGAACTCGTTAGGTAGGACAGAATTAGATTCGAAAGTGATACTGGCATAGATAGATTTAAATAAACGAGCAATAACTGACGTTGGGCGCAAGCAGCCATGATTGGACTGTACTTGTTCAGTGTGCAGACTCGTAGCTCGAAGCTGGAAGAGGGAGAGGAGAGGCGGCTAGATTTGTCAAAACGCGAGAGCGAGTCCAGCCCAGTAATTAATTGTATCAGAGTCCATGATTACATGTCGCTTTGCGCGCGTCCGTGCAGCAACAGCAGCGGGATTCGTGGGAGCGCGCATGCATGTGCACATAGGACAAGCGGCTGGTCTCGCACAGGATTATACGGGACGTTCGCGCCGTATCCAGCAGCACATATAGCTGGGCTTGCCGAGGCTCGAGCCCCACTCGGTAGATGCGCGTGTGCGCATCCCACGCACGTTCGCGTTGGTACGCTACGTGACACGCACACGAGTGTGTGCTTATATATAGTCAACGACACAAGCCTTGCCTCCACTTCGCTCAGCTGCAGTCGACAGTTGTAACGGGCGATTCGCTCGGAAAGCTTGCCCGTATATATGTGCATGTATGCGTTCACCTAACTAAATAGATGGACCAACTCTTATGAACAGATGCACTCTGATGGAGCTTTGGGCTCCACTGCTACTACTGCCTGGCTGCAGCCATGTAAAATTCCACGCTCATTCACTCCGATATATAGTTATGTAACAGTGCGAATCGCATGCAACTATTGTCGGGGCGTTCGAATCAACGTTCAAGTCATTTGCAATAAGCCCGTTACGTAAGTGTATATGCAGTGACGTCAACATGGAAAATGGACAAAATAATCAATCTCTTTCGAAATTTAATTAAAATCGCTTGGCTCGCTTCGCGCCTAAGCTGTACCGTATACCTGTAAACTACCGCGGCCGCTGCTTGCGATCTTAGCTCTGGCCCGTAATAAAGCCGTAGATCGTATATATTGCGAGGAAAAAAGCTTATACATAATAAGTTGCAGCCGAGAAAAAGCTAATTAATTTTCACTTAGCAACTTGAGTATACGTACAGCGAAGCGAGCGCGTGGCTCTACCTTCTTACGTCCAGCTCGAACTTGTAAAACATTTCTTGCAACGAAAAAAATCGCACAACCCTATCGACGAGATCAATTCTTGAAGAAGGTATAATAAGAAAAGTTTATGTATTTCACCTTCAAATATTCATTTTATAATATGTAATAGATCGTTCATACATCTTATCGACTATTTTGTTACAAAAAAGTAAAGTGTACGTATGTCATGAATAAGGATAAACAACAGTGTTTATAAGACAAGGTGTTTAAAAACTCGCTTCACTTTGACCGAGTTTTAAAGATCCAAACCTAATAAATCATTTTTACACTACCAGGCACGCGAGAAGTTAACGTTACTTATATACAATAATGATCATCTTCAGCGAATATTTCCAAGTATTGTAAACGAGCTGTCGAATAGTCGACAACAGTCATGGAACTATAAACGCACACAAATGCATTTTTAGCTGATTAGTTTTTTTCCTCGTTGCAGAGCTTTTTTCACCCTTTCAGCTTTATACATTACTGCGCGATTCCGTAAGATTTACCGGTGGAAAGTTTTCTCGTTCGTTGAATCAGCGTGCTGAAGCGCGCGCTTTTAAACAATTCATTCATGCGTACACATAATGCGCGGACTAAATTAAGCAGCGTCCAAAGTGTAAATGTATAAATCGAAATGAGAGCAAGCTTTTTATAAATACGTATACGGCGTGCCAAAGGAATAAAAGTTGAGAAAAGTAGCCGTGGCTGGATTTCGTTCAAGAACTCGAGAGCAAGCACGTAATAAGCTGCTATATATACAAGGGATACTTTAATCGTCGTGGATTTTAGCAATTGTATAATTTATTCATGGACACTTTTGTCAAAGATCGCAGTTCTTCAAGCTGTTGAAAATATTTCGGTGATAGATGATTTCATTGAATCGTAGCCGTGAAATTCAATTAAAGCTCAGGACTTTATTTACAATCCAGTGTGCATAGTAGGGCACGTAGGTGGCAACTTCGCTAATGCCGTAGATAGCGTATTCACCGCATCCGGCTGCCCAGCTGACCACACCAACTTGATAACCCGCGTCGTCGACGTAGGGACCTCCGGAATCACCCTGCGTGCAGACAGAAACGGCCGCATGCCCCCCGCCGTCGATATCGTTAATTATATATACGCCGCATAGGCCAAATTCGCTCTTATCACGAATTTCGAACGGTTAGGCTGCGTTAAAGTACAAGGTATACATAATCCTTACCGTGCAGGTGCCACCGGTCGCTACGTTCAGCGGTCTCAAGCACATCGTGCTCCGGTCCATCCTGGGCGGACTTCGCGAGTCGCTCAGAAACACGTCGGCAATGAGGCGCCGGCATCGATCGAAATCGTCGATCCTCATGCGGATGGCGTTGAGATGCGTTCGATCAGGAATACCCTGACGGCCCCAGCCGCTCAGCGTCAGAGCCAAGCCATTACGGTACGGGTAATCGACGGTGGCTAGTCTGACGGGCTGTATCCTATCGTTGAAAATCATATCCCTTGTTAGCCAAATCAAAGCTATGTCGGCGTAATTGACGTTCTCGATATCCTGCTCGAGTGCGAGTAAAATTAATCATTGGAATATTCTCGAGGAAAAATTACTTCGTCAAAGTAAACACAACTACACGGTGAACCGAGCTTTATTATACCATCTGCATATTTTATTTATCATGCCGTCGCATAACGCGGTACCCGGCAACAACAAAGACTTTGACACAATGAGAATAATCGCGTCCGATATTGTGTTTACAGGTGCTTCGGCAGTAATGGAAATTTCGACAGATTCAATTTTACTCACTGTGAAATTTTCGTGCATGATGAATAATTCCGCTTGATAATAAACGGCATCGATACCACCCAATTTGTTGCTGCCCGCTACGATTTCCACGCTCGATGCTTCCTCTCTTTGGATTAAAAAATTATTTATCGTGAATACGGTGACTGCCGGCTCGCACTTGGAACCAGCAACATATAAGAATATAACATAACTTACGCATTGACGCAGTGGCCCGCTGTGAGAACAAAACGTGGGTGTATTATCGAACCTCCACAGTAAAAACCATCTTCGATATTGTTTAACGCATTTTTGTGTCTGAGATATACTTGGTAAGGATATCTTCCGTTTTCCGCTTCAAATCCATTTTTTATTCTCAGCTTTTCTGTTGCGTTACAATTACGAAATTATTGATTGCACGTGAAATAAAATTGATGCTTCAACTCACCAGCGTAAGTATTTACCAGAATAACAATTAAGAACAGTAAACCCGTTCGAGAAAACATTATGATAAATAAAACAAGTAGTGCCCCGAGGAATTATATTCGACAGCAATTGTTCGACTGCTTACTAGCAAATGCAGAGGTATTTCTTTAGCGTAGTAGAATTGTCACGTTTCGCCGATCAATATTTGACACAAAAATCATAAAGTAAATATGATTCAAATTATCTGGTCATAATAATAAATTTCGAAATTTGGTTTATGATTCGTTTAATTTTGATACGTGGATGTTTTGAGGACAATCGTTTATCATGATAAATGTTAATTTTTACGACCATTTAAAATCGTTAAATGTTATCACAGCTATTAATTTATACTTCTATAATTAAAAAACAATAGCATAGTTTTCTTCAACAGCCTAATAAAATAACTTTCCTACTACATTATTATAGAATTTTTGAAATTTTTAAATTGATATATTGAAAGATTGCTTGGGTAAATCAAACAAACAATTTTTCATTCAATTATATTTAAAAAAAATTGTTTAATATGTACAATAAAAATATTTGAGATATCTACAATTAATTGTGACTATCCGCCATGCAATGTCGATATAAAAAGAACGTTGTCATTTGGTTGCAATTTATAATTGCCTTCATCCTGAAAAAAATACGTGGCCTTATTATCTTACTAAAAAAATTAAAAAGCTCAAAGCTTTTTTCGATTTGCATAATATTTACCAATAATTCCCAATCTGTTTCGTTTACCAATACGAGAATTCCAGGTCGTCTATAAAATAAAATAAAATTTTTTTATAATTCAAAGATTATAAATATGTTTAAATGAAATTTGAAAATTTTTTGGGAGATTTATATGCATAGCTAAAATTAATCAATTTTTTTAAATTCGTTTTATTGGCCTTTGTTTTATACATATCAGCCTAAAAATTAATCAATTCCAAACTGCACTTGTAGCTCTATCTGTATCGAGATTGTCCAACTATCAGCTTCAATCACGAACTAACTGATTTTCTACTTTATCGGTTGAAACGTTTTTCCATTCGCAAAGTGTTAATTATATCAATCATGTATATGCACTTGATTCATATGTAGGTCATTTTTTATTTTCAAAATTTTTTAAGAATTTATTTCTACCGGAGAGACTGAAAAATTAATATAGTACTCACATTGTTTCATCTTGGACAAAGAGATCTTCTCTTTCTTTATCTTGCAGCATATTATCACGCATCCAAAGGATTAATTCACCAAGCGTCCCTATTCAAAAGTTAAAAGTAGATGATTAACACAATAAAAGATTGTTTTAATTCAGTACAGACAAGTACTTACATTGTGGTTTTGCAGGCAAAACAATATTGTGTTTAGTTTTATTGTCAAACAAGTACTCCGCACCACCTCTGTATAAAAAAATATTTTTACTCATCAATGCATAAATACATTAAATAAAAAAAATTAATATGAAAAATGATTAGTTGAGTCGGACTTAAAAATAAATTCGTTTATAAAAGTATTCATATAAAAATGACCAAATTGTGAAAATTATTTTCTATAAGGTTAGATGTACCGACAAGATTAGATATAAAAATAAGAATAATTACCCAAACTCAATAACAATGGGCAAGTCTGTTTGATTCATGATTCTTTTATAACAAAAAACTTTAAAATTTCTCACTGTTTAATTTAAAAATCAAAAACCATCAAACAATTGAATTACAAACACAGAGTATGTGCATGGTGCAGCAATTTGTCTCAGACATTCTGTTTACATTGAAACCTCGTGGCTTTTCAAAAGAACGATCATTCCAATGCCGCATTCGCCGGTCCACACTGTGCACTGTGCAGGTTGTCGCACTGACGTACACAGACACTTATTAGGCGCATGAGTAAACATTCTTTGTGTAATAGGCTTCGGTGTATGTTAAAAAATTTTTTATTGTCTTGGCAGTCATCAAAAGTGACGTAAATTATGTGAAAAAAATTAGACCTATTTGTGAAAATTTGTAGCACGAACACGGAGTTTTACACCAAATATCAATAATAACATGGAGGTCATTCTGACGTTGTCCGTTGAAATATTTTCATACGTTAATGTTATGAATTCGCACTTGTAAATTATGATAAGCTCGACCTAGACGCGAAAACGCGGGGAAAAGCTGCACAAAGAAATAGCCTGACCCACCAATGCGTGAAACGCGCTCATTGCTTATCGCTGTTTCGCTTATTCTCAAATCTCACCTATACACGCGTTCCGCGTTCCCTCTTTGTGTTGGCAATCCTACAAGAAACTCGAGACTGATAAAACGGATTCTACAATACAAGTTTTGCGTTTTACGTTTACCATAATATATCCAGAACGTTCCTACGCCAACATCAACTAGCCCTAAGCCCACTGCTGCGTTCTTGGCTCTTCTTGCGTTAGACGTAGATTATTTTTCCGGCGCGGCCGCCCTTTTCTCGTCAGTGTATGCGTGGTAGGTACTCGCAGAGACATAACAGCTCTCGGTCAGATCGTTGTTTTGGTCAATTATCGAACACAGCTTCTTGGAATTTATCGCTTATCCCGCGTGATTGAACCGGAGTGTTGCTAGTATTTCACCGGTATGGCGTCGCGCCATAGCCGTATACATTTTTCAGCGCATCTTGTGAGATAAAACAGCGTGCATTCAGTATCACCCCAGGCTATTGATATTTCGTTGAACTTGAAAAAAATACCATTGACTATTAGCTGCTTATCTTATCCAGTCAGTTTCAGAATCTCTTATCAATAAGATCGTCATGTCAGGATCTCAAGACTCGGCCGAGACCGTAACCTCGACTGAGGTGCAACAGCCCGAACCAGATCCTGAACCCGAAACTGAACAACCTCCATGCATCGAGTCCGAGGAGCCCAAAGTAGACGAAAGCGAACTTTTGCGCGATATAGCACAACTGGACGAAAAATTAGAGGAAGAGATTGAAGAAAAAGAGCATCATGATGAAGTTGAAGCTTCTGAAAAAACAGAGGATCATAAGGAAGCTGCTGAAGAACATAATGAACAACAAGTACAAGAAAAAGAAGATGAACCTCAACAGGAGTCTCCAATGAGTCCTACTGGCAATACTTCTGATCCTTTGCAAGAATCTGATCCTCTGCATCAAGAAACTAATGATGACAAAGAAGATGAAGAAAAAGAATTGGCTACTACCGACGAGGGCAAACCACTTGAATATGAACCCGAACAATTTGTGGTTAGTTAGCAAATATTTACTTTTTTATTTTATTTTTAATTTAAAACTAACAGCATATTCTATAATACTTTTAGAGTAAAGCACAAATTGAGACAAAACTTCAAGAGGTAGAAATGCCTACTAAATCAATTGAAGAAGAAGAAATGCCTTCTTTGATGGAGACAAATATGTCTAAACTTGATGCATCAGTTGCAAGTTCAAACAATGAAAAATCAACTTTAAATCTCAATAATGACATTCCTGAAAGTACATCTCATAAAGATGCAGATGACGACAGTGATGACAGTGTCTGTGTTATTGATGATGACGATGACGATGATGAAGTACCAGTTAAGCGCACAGCTTCATCTAACGATGATAGAAGTTCTACAATTGATGATGATGATGACGACGATGATGATGAAGAAGAAGAAGAGGAAGAATTTGATGATGATGATCGCAGTGAAGACATTAGATACAATCGTCACAGAGACAAGAGTGGTTAGTCTAGTTTCTTTTTTCATTTGTTTAACTTTTTTACCTATTGAAAAGTATTATTTAATCATTATTTTCACAGTAAACAACAGAGGACCAAGTAATTATAGAAGAGTTGAACGCTATGAGGATGATGAAGATGAAATAGAAGAGGAAGAAGAAGAAGAAGAGGAAGAGGAAGAAGAAGAAGAGGAAGAAGATTTTGAAGCAGAAGAATTTGATGGAGGTCGGTCAGATGATGCAATTTTAAGGCACAGTAATGGATTCACTAAACAAAATATAGAGCGCAGTACATCATTGCAAGACTTGACCCTTATGTCTCCAAAAACGAAACATGTTAACCCGTATAATCAAAGGGAAAGAATTCAACAAGCTATGGGCCCACGATCTCAGCATGGATCAGCAAAACAATTTGCACATGTGCAGAGTAAAGTAAAAAAATATATTATGGAAATGACAGAACAAAGGCGGATGTCTAATGACAAACGAAAAAAAGCCTTAGATGAGGCAAGGTACAAGAATGAAAATATAAGAGGTAACCCCTTGGATCACTGAATATTGAAATTTTTATTCATCTTAAAACTAAATAAGTTGTTAATATTAAATTTTTATTTTGTAGAAAATCCCATGCATGGAAGTGATAAATTTTCTAATGCTAAAAATATCAAACAATATGGCGAGAAAGTTTTACAAGAAGTACAAGAAATTGAGCTAAATGGCGAATCTGAATTCAGATCAGAAATCACAGAAAATGGTGAGATTAATTATGTAAGTTATGACTTAGATAATAGACAACAAATAATTCAAGAAGAAATGGAAGTTGATCCAATGAATACTGAATCTCATCATGACAATATTGGTCACAATGATGCAATAAATGGTGCAGTTAATCAGAATAACTACATGCTAGACAGAAGAAACATCCAAAGACATGATATTCAATCTTACCCTAAACACACTTCTAATGGAGAAGATCCAATGCGTTCAAATTGTGATGTACGTACACTTAGTTATGATGAATATATGAAAGGCCCAAGTAATACTGTACTTAATCAAGATGATAACTCCGTAAGAACAAATAATTTAGATAAACATAGAGGCATGCAGGATTGTGGACTAAAAATAGAAAAAGTATTGACGTATGCCCATCAAGATGAAGATGATATACATGGCCGAGAAACCCCACCCGCTTCAATGGTACATCAGAATAAAGTTTTACACTACGCAACACCAGAAATTCAAAATTTAAAGGAACAACTGAAGGAAAAAACTATGCAATTTGAAAATTTATACGATGCATATCAAAGGTCTATGAATGAAAATGCATCAATGAAAAATGAATTAGATAGTTTGAGGCAAAAGATTTTCTATCTTCAAGATCAGCAACAAAAAAAGAAATCTCAAGAAAAAGGAATGCAAACTGAAAAAACTGTCAACATAAATGCTTCAAACAAAATGGATGATATTAAGTCACAAACTATAATTTCGGGTGCAACTTCAAATTGGTCTGATACTATAGGAAGTGTTGCTATATCTATAAATCAGCCTCCTAATGTTACACATGCTTTAAATTCTGATGAGAGTGCGGAACAAAATAAATCTCCTAAGCAAAAAAGTGCTTTTTCCAAAGCTTTCATGACATCTACGCGAATCTTGCATACTCTTACAAATCTCACTAATTTGAATAGCAAAAAAAGTGATAAATCTAGTAAACGTTCAAAAACACCAGAAAAAACAGAAGCTGAAGCTGTGTTTGTTGAACCAGCAGCACCAGGTGCCTCGAGAAAACGAAAAGCCACAGATACTTTAGAGTTGTCCAGTTCAGCTCAACCTTTCAAAATTCCTCACACCATTAAAAGTGACGTTGATAAAGGTTCTCTTTCAGAATCTCGAACCAATGATGATCATTCAGAAAACGGAAAAAATTCAGAATCTGCTCCGGAACGCACATTCGAATTACACGAAATTGATGATGATGTCAAAGTGTTCATTTACCCAGAAGATGACGGTGATCAAAGTTTCCTTATTCAAGCTAAAGAAACAGGTCTTCAACCAAAACCAGGTGTACGCGAATGTGGTCCTTACGTCTTAGGTAATGTAGAAGTTTACATGACTGAATTGAATGGTACTATAAGTATATGGGGTAAAGAACTCAGTAAAAATTCAAATCAAATTCAAAATGATGAAATGGAAGCCTCTATGAGATCCAAAGATGGGTTCATGCCAGTAAAACCTCTAAACTTCCGTCATCAAAGCACACCTCGTGTATGCAGCAATAATATTCCTTGCTCATCTGGAAAAAAATCCAAAATTGTGTCTCGATTTTCACACAGAGCTCACTCGCATGAGTGCTTAGACTGTAGTAATATTAATCATCGAGTTTCTTGGCAATCTTGCAATCAGAGCCTCCATGATCACAGCCATCATGGTTGCTGTCCACCAACTATAAGAGTTGAGGATTCTCACTGCGGATACTCTTACAAACCACCTGTACCTCCAACTTGTTGCCAACAGAAATACGTTGAAACCAGAAGATGTTCATTGCCAAATGCGTGCATTGATAATTATTGTAGTTCACAACTTCACAATGCACCTATGCATCATCCCGGTCATCATCTTCACTCTCAGCAAGCATACGTAAGGAAGCATTCATTCAAATCTGACGAAGATGAAGATGATGATGATGATGAAGACATGGAAGATGATGAAAGCACATCCAAACACTATCATTCTGCTAGGGAAAACTCACCATATACTTGTAGTTCTAATAAACTAGTCCCCCCTGTATCAAAAAAAAGGTGTTCCGATCCAGATTGTCAAATTGATCATGAACAAATGCATGCACAAAAAACTGTGCAAGAGGAATCTGATGTAAGTGATTATTTTTAATTTAAATATATTGGTATTTTTAATTGAAACATTTTAAAAATTCTCTAAATGTTTACTGATGTGTCAACAGTGTAACCTGAAAAAAAGAAGAATGAGCGGTAGAAAAATCAGAGATATGATGATGGACTTACTAAAAGGTTGCGGCGATTGCCGAAGTACTAATCCTTTGAGTAAAACAAACTTGGATCGTAATGCATCAGTTTATGAACCTACTACTTCAGCTCAACATAATAAGACGGCGTTCAATGAGAAACATAATTCTTATAATTATGAAAAGTAAGTATTTTAATTTATCTAGGTACCTTTGATTTACCGAATTTTTTTGTTTGGTAATAATAAAAATTTGAATTATATTTTCTAGGTGCTCCAGTAATCAAGCTCGAGGCAGTAATGCTAAACAAAGTGAAAAAGAAGAACAGCTAGGACTTTTAAAGAAAAAGTTTGATCAAATACAAGTTGAATCAACGTCCATACGTGATTTATTAACAATGCTCCATAACGCCCATGAAGATAATTGATGAAAAAACTAAAATATTTATTTCTATAACTATACTTTTTTAAATGTCGATATTCTATGTATATAGCTATCACACTAAAGTATTTCTTTTTTATTTATAAAAAATGTGCTACTTCGACTTCTAACATTCGAAGCAATTCTGTAGATTGATATTTAGATTGCTGTTGTACAATGTTCCTTCCTTCTGTTTTGCCTCTTTTTTATAAATTCAATTAAAAATTAAAAGCTGGGCGTTTATTACTTGATTTAAAAGTTTTATCGAGTAATGTATAATGTAGAGTGGGTAGTAATTTAAAATATTCTGGAACACCATGTGTTGCCATGATTAAGTGACATTCATTTTTTAAGTATATCAAAATATAGGTATACCTATCTTATAAAATTATTATTTAAAAATGTAATAAAACAATATTCAAATGAATCTGTTGTATTTTTCTATTTATTGTTAGTAACTGGCTTGCTCATACAATGAATACTTAGTGAAGAATGGCGCACAAGAGATTTTTTTATAATTTTGTCAAGTTTTGTCTCTAATGTTAGTATGAACAATCACAAGTGTCGTAGCCGGCTGATGGGTCATCTGTTGGTCCACAATCTGGTTGCTGCTGTTGATCATTTTGGCCACACCCAGGCTGATCGGATGGATCGTTATCTCCGAAAACATTACTGTACGAGACTTTGAGAAAATCGACGTGGCCTTGCAGAGATCTGATTCTGCCCTGAGCTTGTTGTAAGGCATCATTAAGGTTGCAGATTTGCCCTTGCATCTTCTTGCGTATCTATTTTTTGATTGAAAACATAATTAGATTTAGATTTTTAACAGATAAAGCGATCGGGGGAGATGAGAAAGAATTCGACACGTGCCTCGTCCCTTTCATTTTGAGCCGTTTTTGCAGCAGCTCTGCACTGAGCAAGCTGCACCTCGAAGTCACTTATCTGCCCTTGCATGCTCTTTTTTATGGCTTCGCATCGCTCTTTAGTCCTTGCCACTTGTCTAGCCGAATCCTCACGAACCTAAAAGAAGTATATTTAATTTTTCTGAAATTCAACGACTAAAAAGGTCACGTTAGTTTTCATCACCTGTTCCAACATGGATGTGAGTTGGGTGACTTCGTGGGTTTTTTCGTCGAGTCGCTTTTGCAAAGTTTTGTTTTGCTCCTCCAAGCGACACACATTATTCTTCTGCCTTTCATTTTCCGTCCTCAACTGGCCGTTCTTCACCTCCAATTGCTCAATTATACCACCTCCGTCGTTCTTCTCTTCCTACGTGGATCGTTGTAATTCGATGCTTCGTTCAGTGTTTCAAGTTTTCGGGCATAGTAATAGGTGTTGTCATGCTTACCTGTAATTCTTTGTTGGCTTCTAAGGCACTATTTAGTTTGTTCTGAAGATCGACGATGGTATCTTGGGTTGCGTGAAGATCACGAGACAAATCTTCGCAATTGTGCTCGGCAACTAATCTGTATTGTTGAGTTTCTTGAAGTTTAATCTGAGTTTGCTTGAGTATTTCGGGTAGCGGGGCCAGTTCAGCGAGTTTTTCTTGAAATTGATTCTGAGGGGGTTGCAACGAATGGGATCGATAAATACTGGAGAAAAACGTTGAAGAGTCCACTTGGACGAATACTCACTTTGACCCGATTTATTTCCAGAGTTACGTTTTCGTTCATTCGAGCGTTATCCATCTCCATGAGGTCAAGCTGTCGGCGCTGTTCTTCGACCTGCTGCTGGGCCTGCAAACAAGACGCGCGAAGCGCTTAGGAATTAAATGCTTTTCAGTTGGCTTTATTTTTTCGCGGCATCACTAACGTGCAGATATTTGCTTCTGTAATCGTCGAGTTGCTGCGCTTGATCGCGAATCATCGTCCGCAACTCCTCGAGCTCGTCCTGCGTCTCGCGGAAACGTTGCCTCGCAATTATCAGCGCCTGCTCTTGCTCGATCATTTGCTCGTTGCAGCCTAACGTCATCGTTAACATTAAAAAGGAGTTTCAAAGACGGAGCTCGAAAAGGCTCGCAAGCGTCGACTCACCGAGCAGTCGGTCGCGCTCGGCCTCTATGTTGCGAATGCGCTCGAGAGCGTCGCAGAGCTGAACCTCGAGGCGGTCGCGCTCCTCGCGGGCCTCGCGCGCGTTCCGCTTCAGATCGTCCGTGTTGGATCGCAGCTGCGACACCTCGCACAATTTGCTCTTGTAATCGTCCTGCAGTCTCTTGTATTGCTCCTTTAACTCGCTCAGGTTGCTCTCGCAGCAGTCGGCTTGCGGAGCTTTCGGGCACGGCGGCGGGGGACAAGGCCGGGCCGATTTCTTAGGCGCCGCCGGTGTACACGACTGGTCCTCGCAATTTACCTGTTTAACGAATCGCCGCGCTCACGTTTTACGATTGCTCGACTCGAACGATGCCGAAAACATTATATTGTCAGAGTTGGTCGAACCTTGCAGGGCGTTTGGTCCTGCTGAGAGTTTTGTTTGCACGTAAGCTCGTCCTGCATCATGCGCACTTCGCACTCGATATTCGACAGCTGCTCGCACTATGTATTTTAAAAAAACGAAAATATATGACTGATCTAATGAAATTCCAGAAAAGCTCGGGTTAATTTACCAAATTTTGTACGTGATCTTCGATGTTATTTCCTCGCTCGTGGCCCTTATTACGACCGTGGGATTTGCTTTGTGGACCACATCCTCCGCCGCCGCCGCCGCAACATGCCGACGCACCGCCGTGTAGACGCAGTGCCTCGTACATGTCGTTGCCGCCTCCACAGCAACGAGACTTTTGCTGCGTTGGTTGGCCGCAACCCGACATCGGTGCTTTTCAAAGTACTCGAATTTAGCGAGGAAAGGCTTTTTCAAGGAGCTACGTTTTATTCGCAATATACCGAGAGGCACTAACTTTGAGCGCAGGACTTTTTCGGAGGCAAGCAAGGAGATCTGGAAGGTGGAGCGGCAGGACACGACGGTGCTTTTGGACAAGGCGAAGGGGGTGGAGGTTTGTTTTTCACCAGACAATCAACGGTAGTGCTTAGGTCGGTGTTCATTTTCTGAACCGCTCGCATCTCGGCCTGGAGACTGCAGACTTTTCGCTGTAGTCTTTGTAATTCTTCATCTTTCTCCAATAATTTTCGCTCAAGCTGAAATCTTGACGAAGGAAAAAAGTGCGTGAAAAAATGAGGTTACGAACTGACGCGAAAGTAACAGTTCGTAGTCAACTATGTGAAATTGCCCACAAACGATCACGATCGACCTCGGCGCTTGTCAAATTTTTCCTCATATATATACTACGAGCTAACGCACTTGCTACTCTCGAGCTCGGTATTTTCCTTTGCGAGCTGGCACACGGACTCCTGTGTCTTTTTTACTGGACAAGTTTCACGGCTATGCGGACGACTGTCGGCAACGACGATTTTCGGAAAGTCCTCCTCGGTATTACCGCAAACGATGAGCCTCGGCAGTCTGCGCGAGCGAGAACGATCGATGTTTTTTAGCCGAGTTCTTTATACCGATTATTAGCAAATTCATGGTACGTCGAGAGAAAACGATATATCTTACTTATCTTCCGGATAGTCGATCTCGGGGAAAATGAATCTATCGCAGCCGCCCTTGCGTGGCTCGGTGTCGCAAGACTCCTTGTCGCACTGGAGCAAATCCTCGTTGCAGGCGCTGGCGCAAGACTGCGTATCGCACGGCTTCTTCTTTTTCGGGCAGTCGACGCAAGTCACTGTGTCGTGCGGGAACGGCTTCATGTCGAACATTTTAGCGAACGTTTCGGTACCGGGATCGACCAAACCCATCAGCCGCTCCAATTTTCGCGTTATGGAATTCATTTTGCAGAGTTTTTCGGCCAGTTCTCCTTGCACGGTGCTGAGTTCGGAGGTCATTTCTTTCGTCAAACAGTCGTTCTATACGTGGACGGACGAGCGATTACATTCATTGAGCCCGGCGATCATGTCTCGTTCGGACTCGATCGAAAAGTACTTACTTGATTGATTCTCTGTATAATAGCTTTTAAATTTTGAATTTCTTCTTTGAGGCGTCTCGCCTCTTCTTGAAACTGGGATATTTCGTTCATTACCGCGGTATCTTCGAAAGGCAAACATTCTACGAGTGAGGTGCTGCTATGACCTTGGCCAACCGGAACTCCTTTGATTTTCATAGACAATTGGATCATTTTTATAATTATTAATAAATAAGATTCAGTTATGAAAAGCGACACCCAATATGGCCTTTGATGCAATTTATCTCGCACACATTAATGAAGCAATGAAAACAAGCCATATTGGGTTGAGAGAAGACAAAATAATTTTTATGAGCTTTCATTCAGCCTAGTTTCGATACTTTTCAAAGGCCATATTGGGTTTCATAAATCATGGGACAGACTCACCTAATGCTAAACAACAAAACAGTAAAAAAACAGGAGTAACGTTATGGCGAATCATAGCGAAATGAAAGTTCATTGTTGATAATCAGAAAAATTAAATACGCGCATCATGTAGTTCAAGTATCTTATCGTTTGAGCTGTAAGATTTTTTAAGAAAATTTCAAAACATTTTTTTTATTAATGCTCAAGTCCAGCTTTTTTCATACCTTGACCCAAAGCCCCGGGGACTGGATAGTCTGGTGGAGCGTACGAGTTCTTCTCAGTCATTTCCCTAGTGAAAATAGTTATAATAGTTTACAGGTGAGCCTATAGTTTGTATCGATGTTCTATTATGACAGAAAAAAACGAATACTTGAGTTTAAGGTCCTCCTCGTCTAAATCGGAACCGTCAGAGTTGGTTTGTGAAAAAATCGGTTGACTCTCGATAGCTGGCACGAGCTCGTCCGCGTCCTTTATTAACTTTTCTGCTTTGTTCTCTTCAGTCTGAGTTTGCTGCAAAAAAGCATATTTAAAATATCTTGAACATGTTTGACTTTCAAAAAACAGAATTACTAACCAAGAGCGGAAAATTTGGATCTGATTTGGTGAAGTCTGGTATAAAATCTTTCAAAAAGTTCAAGTCAGGGCGATCTTGGACATCGCCGTCTTCGCCGCGAGCTTTGACAAATGGCTTGTCACCCGCAGGACAGGAAAGCGGCGATTGATGTTGAGATTGGCGCGGTGATTCGGCAGATAACAGCAAAGACTGAAAATCTTCTAGGCCAAAATCCAGAGGTCTGTGAACATCGAACAAAGACTCGATCGACTTGAGCGGCTTACAATCGGACTCGATCGGAGCTAGCGGATTCTGTGATTTGACTTTATTTGCGTTTAGTTGCTGCTGCTGTCGTCGCTGATTTATTTGCGTTGGTTTGCGGCGCAAATGCTCCTCTTCGGGTTCGCGATTCAAGTGTTGACTTGACGAGCGAGCTCGAGTCAGACTCGGACCATGATTACTTTGACTCAACGTACAAGACTTTTGCTTCTATGAAAAAAATTAATGTGATCTCCAGATGCTCTTGAAAGCTTGGGTTAAAGAAACTCATTTTTTGGAGGATATACCTTCATGCTTTTTACCTTCGAAACGAAACGAAGAGGCGATGAGCTTTCGATAGTGTAGGAGAAAGTAGGTTGGAAATGTTTCCTCTTCACACGTTTACGATCACAGAGTTATGAACTATGCCCACATTTCGCGTCTAAAGTAATTTTGAATACTTCATTGTCATCTAGATTGTATACCCTCAAAAAACTTTCGAAATGATAATTTTGAATGATTTACCTGAGAATCGAGAATTAATAATTTATTCCGAAAGGTAAAAAGCAATCTTCGAGATGGACAGTCGAGATCTGACTTATCCTTCGAAAGATCTGAATGTTGCAGAAATTTTCGATTGTTTCACACTTCAAATAGCTATTTAGTCAATTTTCAATGTTCTTTTTTACATTTTTCAAAACTTTTCACATGTTAAAAAAACGCGTAATGTTTTTTTTATTAATCGCAATTATATATCACTAAAAATTCAATTAAACCATTGTCATGTGTAATTTCTTCTATTAGTCATTTAAATATTATTACCAATTCAAATATTTTTTATAAAAGTGGAACTGACTCGCTGAACAATTTTCATGCATCGTATTACAATGAAGTGATTCGGTAATTTCAAGAAATAAATTTTAAATATTAAAAAATGTGACAAGTATTATTTATTTTGATTTTTAAAAATTCTTCCGATCAGATAGGATAAAAACGCAGATTTCTCGATACATTTCTTTAAAAATTCATTGAAGAATTACAGCGTAATTATTCATTTGATGAAAAAAGTACTTAAAAAATTACGTTCACTCTTCCAATTTGTAAAAAAAGTTATTACTTAAAGTCGAAGAATATTTACATTTGACAGTTCATATTTGATCATTTTTATCATGTTGTGACGTCTGATCTGACTCTGTATATATATAAATGATCAAGTCACCTAATTGAAATTAGTACGTTTTTCCGCCGTGGCACTTGCATCATACGAGCTCGGCAGTCGGCGCTCAGAAGTTCAGACTCTGATTCGTTGGCGCGTCAATCCTTAAATCTGAAACCACATGGTAGTCGATACTCGACATTCGAAACACATAGACTGCTGTTACCGTGTACAATTTGGTGCAGTTTACTATTGATTGTAGGTTAGAAGTTTATTTGATTTTCCATCAATTTCAATTAAATTAAATAACATGCCTGCAGGAGTCGGTTCTTCAGTCCTTCAGAGGGTTACGTACGTATTACTTATATTCAAAATATCATAAATGTATCATGCATTTTTTAACCCTTAATTATTTAATGGAAATTGGAATTTTTATTTTAGGAAACCCAAAACCCATAAAGGAAAGAAGGTTCTTCTAGATAGAGAACCCAAAGTTATTGAAAATACAAAACAAATATTTTTCGTTAAAGGTGCCAAAACTACTCCAGAGTTGCAAGAATGTTTAAAAGATATTGTGAGTTTTTTTAATTACACTTTCAAATACATTCATTTGTGTATAAATATTATAAAAATCTTATTCTTCTCATAGTACACATTAAAAAAACCAGATGCCAAAATTTTACGAAATCGCAATCATATAACACCGTTTGAAGATGCTACACCTTTAGAAGGTTTTGGAAAAAAGTTCAATGCAAATCATTTCATGATGATAAGCAACAACAAAAAGAGGCCTAATAACCTTGTTATAGGTCGATTATTTGAACACACATTGATGGATATGGTTGAATTTGGAGTAGAAAATTATATGAGTTTAAATAGTTTTAAAAATGAAAAAATTGCTACTGGGATCAAACCAATGCTTGTTTTTCAAGGAGAGTTATTTGAAAATAATTCAGAGTTTGGACGAATTAAAAATTTACTTGTAGATATGTTTCACAGAGAAGATGTTGAACAAATAAGGCTACAAGGTCTGGAACATGTATTAAGTTTTACAGCTCATGACAACTGTATACTTTTCAGAAGTTACAAGTAAGTTAATTAATAATTATAAAATTAGAGATTTTTGGAAAAGAAAACTAATGGATTTTTTTCATAATAGGACATTGCTAAAAAAGTCTGGAACCAGAATCCCACGAATTGAATTACAAGAAATAGGACCAAGAATGGACTTGAGAATCAGGAGAATTAAACTTGCTACAGATGATCTTTTCAAACAAGCTTGTAAAAAACCCAAAGTTCTTAAGGTAATATTTTTATGCCATTAAATTAATGGATTTATCATTTAATAATCTCTAAAATTAGCTGCAAAAAAAAGATTAAAATTTTTGTAATTCAATTATGTTGTGCATACAATTTTTAATTTTAATATTATTTTAGGAAAAGAAAAAGAAGAATATTACTGAAGATACTTTTGGCAGTACACTAGCAAGAGTACATTTGGGAGTTCAGAAACTAGACACAATTCAAACTAGAAAAATGAAAGGTTTGAAAAAAACTAAAGCAGAAAAGAAAAGGAAGGCTGCTGAAGACTTAGATAACAGTCCAAAAAAGGCTAAAGTTAGCAATGTAACTACTACTGAAGCGTAATTCATAAAATTACTATGTATAAATAATAAATGTTTGTATTTACATAACAGAAAAAAAATATTATAATTTAATATCATTTTTATGACTTTAATACTTTAACAACAAAAAAATTATTTTTTTAAGTATTTCATTCTTACTTTGCAGAGATTTGACTTTAGTGTGCTTATGTTTTTAGGCTCGTGGTTCACTCCATGCTCAAGTCAAAATTTAGTTTACTTTTTAATTTTATGGGATATTGATCATTACAATTTTTCAAACTTGGTAAAGAAATAAATACAACTGAATACCGACGGAATTTTTTATTTATTAAATGAAATCACAATGCCCGCGCAAAATCAGTTTTGCGTATCACGTATATTAAGTCTTGGAATGGTCTTAACTTTTTATTATTCCTTTTTTCGCGTATTTTTATGTTAAATGCTTATTGTAACATGATTCATTTTTACTAGCCAAATTGTTATACTATTGTTACATTTATACTGTTCTATCATTGCTCGCGGTAATAAATTAATACATTTCATGTAAAACAAGGCAATGAATTCTCATGGCACATAAATATGCAGATTCCAAAAAATGTTACCAGTTACAGTTGCTGTATATAAGTTATAGAACAGTTTCCTCACATACTTGGAGTATCTTTTCTGTAACACTTATGAAATTCCATGAATGCTAGACAAAAATCAACTTATTCAAACTTATTATTAGTGCTAATGCATGATGTGATGAAAAAACGTGTTTAGTGCAAATAAGTCTTGAACGTGTAATTATTTATTATGTGCATTTCATTGTTTCTTTTCATAATAGCAACATGTATTTATGAGAATGAAGCAATGTGTATAAGTATTTAGAGCACCGACGCAAGATGATAATTTACATGAGATGTGCACAGGTCTGTTTGGGCTACTTCAAAATGATCACAATAATGTTTGAATAAACTTCTTTGAGATATATAATTTTTACATTAAATAATAAAATAATTTTTAAATAATATGAAAATTGTATGATTCGTTTTTTTGGTTTAGAAACTTACTAATTATACATAGTAAAAAATGACTAAATAATTAACTTATAACATATACATACAATTGTTTAAAATAACATAAGCATCGTTAGTTGTAAAAAACGAGATATAACTATAAGATACTAAAAATGGCAATTTACAATTCTTAGTAACACGATTACGAATTTGTGAAGGACTATAAAAAGTTGTCACACATTCGCGTTACGTTACTTCATTTCATTCTCTCACTGATCGAGTGAAAAACAATCACTGATCCACTATGAATGATTATATATTGTGCTAATTTGTTTAAATCACTTTTTATAACGTTTTACATGGTTAGTCTCTTATGTATTGTGAATTCGTACGTACATTTCTGGTCTTGATGATAAATTTAAAAAAAATTGTATGGTTTGATAAAAACTTTCTTTTCATCATACAGTAAGTTACATTATTCTTTATATCAACTTACTTTAATACTGTAATTTGTATTTAAATAGATGCACTACGTATAGTGTTAATTATGGATCGTATGTACCCCTGAATTACACCAAAGATTTACACTTTTCTTGTTCTTTATAATCCTTAATTCATTAGTTTTTCTGTATCCATTATAGTTTCAATAATTATTAATATATAATTATATATACGAGTATAAAAAGATTTTTCTGGTACCTCCAGAAGTTGACTTATAATAATTAAAACACAGCTTTTCTTATCGTTTACATCTAATGTTCATAAGATGACAACAATACAAATTATTTCGAAAGAAAATTCATTCGAATACATGAGTCACAACTCTACGCTTAGAGAATAATAACATGTAACTAACAATTGATGATAATTAGACAACAATAGTATTTATTCAATTTATACTTTTTATAAATTAAAACCACATATTTTGTTGCAAATAACAATCCATTATAACCATGTAAATAAATAGTATAAAATCTTGCAAGAGACAAAAATCAACATTAAAATACAAAACTATGATGAGTATAATATACATGTTTACAAATCGAAAAATTAACGCAGATAGTTATTTTTTCATAAATTAAATTTAGCGTTGCATTTCACACGTAAAATAGCTCGGCAAGATGTACCATATTACGCTTATATACAGATTGAGAGCTTACTCTTAACTAATATGGTTCTGATTGAATAAGTTTTCGATTGCAAGCTAATATGAGTATAATAACAATTTTTGATGGTTAATAACGTAAACAAATATCACAGTAAAGATAAATTATCTTAAAGCTAATTAGCATCGAACTTTGAGTAAAAAAGATAATAATCGTTGAAATAATTCGTTGTAATAAAGCGAGAGATAAATAAAATAAAAAGTAGACATTTAAGGGAATGAAATGTTTAAAAACATAACATTGCAGATTCTGGAAATTCGATAACGAATTTTAACATTCGGGTATATCCATTTACTCATGCAAAGATGTACGTACGTTCGAATATTCACAATGAAAACATCACGAATCCCCACAAATTCGAACACAGAATCAACAGTTATACAAATGTGTCATCGAGATCCATGGGGGCCGTTGAATAATAATGCACGTCGTGGTTCCGATAAAGCTGGTGAAAATAGCAGCGCTCACGACAAGCCCTGTGGTGTAAAACAAATTTTTTCTAATTCACCAGTAGAAGAGCTAACTGGGGACTCAACACGTTCCTCCTGCTCGCAAGCCAACTGCTCGCTATAGTAATGCGGCGCACTTAAATAATCGATAAGTCTTCGGGGTAATGGTAAAGTCGGTATCAAATCTTTCCGCACCATTTTAAGTATTACAAAACGACACGTATGCTGCAAACTTTGTACTTGTTTAAAGCGAGATACTGGATGCAGCAATTGAACGCGCATAGGTCCAAGCACTGGTCGACGATGAAGGAAGAACAGGTATCTACCACTTCGTGAATGTTCCACGGCATTTTCAATGAAATCAACAATTGTGTGAGATTTAAATTTGGTACAACTACCAAAACTGAAGTTACCTAAAAAACATCATTCAATTATGTTAGATATTGAATCATTTTTCACAATATGATGCCAAAACATTTTAAGTACCTTGATCATGTTCTATCCTAACGTGCCGAACGCAATTATTTAATTTGAAAGATAAAGAAAATATGTAGTGATCGTCACTACTATCTCGAACAATAAAAGATCCATCAGGTTCATTAGATAAAATTTTTTCTGCTGCTTCCCCACTTATGGGTCCCCAGTACCAACCGTACTGAAAATATAGAAAAGTTTAATAATAATTATACAAAAAAATTTTAATTAACATGCTTCAAAGCAGATAAAAGCAATAACTTACATCCTTCACTTTTTCAATGCTAGCAGCAAAATCCATACTAGTGTCCTCGTTGCTTACTCGTTCATCCGACTCTTGTCTGTCTTGACTAAGTCCTTGGATTGAATTGGCCGGTGAGTGACTTGCCGAGTCACTGCAAACATTTACCATGCTGGCGTCTGTGGAAGCAGCTTGCAAATCAGCGCTGATGTTTGCATGCCCGTTGTTTTTGGGAAGAGGTGGAAGAGCTCGCTTGAAAAATGGTAATTTACTCCCCGCTGAAGGCGGCATTTCTGCGTCATCGGGTTCGCCGTTCACTGAGCTCCCATTATGATGACCGTTGATGGTTGGATGTTGATCATAGTCGGTGACTAATTCGTCATCATCCTGAACTATTACTTCCGAAATGTGATTGCGTTTCATGGTCAATTGATGTTCTGGGGAACCGATTTTTTTGAACCTAGGAAAAAGACGTATAAATATTTAAGAAATGAAAGAGAAAAAATTCATTTTTCATGTTAGGATATTAGATTCAATATAGTGTCAAATTGACAGTAATTAGTTTTGTGTTGTAACAGTTAAAAATGCGAAAATGTCATAACAAAGAAAGTAAATATTTCAATGTAAATTTGGCTCAGGATCACATATTATTTTGGAGTCATGCTTTTACTCTACTGAAGTCTGTACTCCATAATTTTATTCGTGTTTTCATATGATTTGAGTAAAAACATAATTTATTCAGTTAAAATGAATCAGTTGCTTAATCATGTAACGAATATTACTTTTAAAATTCATTTTTGCATATGTACATTATATTCAAGTCAAGCAAATTTATAATTCAGTAGCACATACCTGAATATATTGCATAAAGTTTGCTTAAGATTAAGCGAAAAATTTCGTTGGCTTTTCTTCATCTTTTCGCGATTCACAGTGCCAGTACTTTGATCGTTGCCATCTACTGACTTTAAGTCATCCGCTCTTTGCTCGTCCTTGTTCTTTTTGTATTTCAGCGTCGATAGTGTATTCTTCTTATGTTTTTTACTTATGGTTGTGGAATTGTAATTATTGTTACAGTTGTTGATGTTGTTGTTGTTGTGCTGTTGTACAGTAGCGAGACCGTTGCTTCCAGTCTTGTTGGATGGGACCGTATTTGTATTCAACGACAATGTATCGTGCGGGTTACTATACTTATTGTTATTGTTTAAATTAATCATCTTGGGCACATGAGCCAAATGAATCGAAGGATGTTGTTGACACCATATTTTTTTGTCTCGCTTTAGCCTTGGCTCCGTTTGGCACCCGTCACCTGAACCCCCAGATGAGTATAGAGTTTGAAGATATTGACGCACTTCGTGAAGCGTCATGTGAATCGGTTCACCGGTATTTCGAACTTGACTTTTTGACTGTCGCTGATGCGTGTGATGCACGTGTAGCTGCTGCTGTTGCTGCTGCTGTTGGTGTCTATGTGCTGCTGCTGCTGCAACTGCCGCTGACGACGTACCCGGTACACTGTGGCGTTTGCCCGTGTTACCTAAAGCCAAACAAGTATAGGTATATATAATGGTCATTGATGAATTCTCTGCTTTGTTAATGACTGTTCGAATTGTTGTTCGATTAGAAAATTAATGCATACTTCTTCATTAATAAGAAACCATAGTTAAAAAGCTTGTTTAAATTTTAAAAATAATTAAGATAATGTTTTTTTTCCAGGAAGTTATTTCATAATAAATTACTAATATAATATATTAAAGCAAAGAAATATTCAAGAAAATACTTAAAGTAGAAAGTCATTAATACTCACAACAAGCTCCATTCACTGTCGCGGAGGCTCCTACATCGTTGCAGCAAGTGTCTGCCAATATTTTTTGGGACTTAACATGTGTTAGTTTAGTTTTCGTAGTACCACCACAATAATGTCTTTCTCTTGTCAAATGCGAACAAAATTCAAACTCGCTTTGAGAGCTGCTGGTGTTTCTACGTCTTTTTCGGTGATGTTTGTGCCTTTTTGGCCTTTGCGGTGTTCGAATAATAGCAATGTCGTGATGAAAAGGTCGTACAACATCAATTGGAACAGTGTAGATATCCGAATCAAAGGGAACATTGTACATATCACTTATTTGAGGACCGGTAAGTACATCATGTGACATCGCTGATGTGATGAAACTGCTGTCATCAGCTTTGTTACTCAAACCAGTAGTATTTAGGGAATTGTGAGAACTAGAGAGTCGAGATGATGCCAAAGACGATCGGGATGCAGGACGATTAAGAGTACTGAAAGGTGTAATCGTAATGGCACCATTGTAACCTGGTCCAGCTAATGCTCCAGAAGAAGATGTAAGATAATCGGATGAAGCATAAAAACGCATTGTACTGAAAATTTATGATTATTTTGATTCAATTTTTATGATAAAAAAATTTAATTTGTATAAAATTCACAAAATATTCAGAAGACTTACTTTTTATTTGATCTACTGCAATTGGTATGTAAATTTTCTGTATTGGGCCTATGCTTGTAAGGCTTAAGAGTTATTTTGCCTTCAGGCCATAATATTTTACAAGATGTGGCTAATGCTTCTTCCACAATTGTTTCAACTAAACTCTCAGCAAACTCTATTATGTAACAACTTACATTTATCGTAGTATCTAAAACTGTACGAGTGTCACTAGTAAGGGGTTCTAGCGAGGAAGATGATGTATCTGGTGGTGATGGGCTATCTTGAAATTCAGGAGGTGGTTTAATTGCAACATCAACAACTTCATGTTTCCTTTGTTCAGCCACTTTGTTTGCAGCAGCTGACAGAATATCTGTCCAAGGTCCTTTTTTCAAAGTGTTGAAATTCTCACTATTAATTCCATCAGAGTAATCAAAAGAATCTTGGGACAAAGATTTGCTCTCCATATCGCTTTCTTGTAACTACAATAAAAATGTTTTTAAAATAATAACATTTATCCATAGAATAAGTTAAAGTTGTACAATAAGTACCTCAGTAGTAGCAAAGTGTGCTCTAACAGAATCACTCGATATGGAGCCTCCTATCCCACTGCTTCCTATTTCACTCAATGGACCAGTCACACTCAGGGAGTATGATGGTGGTGAATCCATATTAATACCATGTAAGTATCGCATTTGTTTTGCATCAATATTACATTAAAAACATGTTAAGCTATAGTATTGTATAGATTTCTCTGTAAAATAGAAAAAAAATATATGGAAATAAAGCACGTTAAAAAATTTTTATATTTCAATAAGCTAATCGAATAACTCACTAGAGAAAATAAAATGTTGGAAGTGCAAAAAATGAAGTTCACATCCTGTTCAGTCATTTTTACATTGGCACTTTTTGGCACAGTGAGTAGTTAGTCCGTTTCAAGTAAGCTCAAGTTGACAGTGATCTGTAAGCAAGAACAAATAGTGATTTTTAATGAATTTTGCATGGTAAAAAAAAAAATTATGATCAATAACCCGTATCGTCGATGTATCTACGCACAAGCACTATCTACGGTTCGACACGATCGATTTGATTATGAAAAGATCATGAGGTATTCAGAAAATGAAAAATATTCATTAGGATGTTTGCTAACGAACCCACGTATCTACGCACAGATTACGACGGTCAGGCTGCCTCGTACGGTGGATCATCAGTCATATCGTTCTCGAATCTTTGTCATATTATGGATTGCGAGAGAGTGGTATATATGTATAAGTGCAAGGTGTAAGGGTTCTACATTCTATGCACTATGCATGCGAGAGTATGCGATGTGTATGTGTATACGTCAGGCACACTTACACATAGAAACGTCAGCGAACTGTCTACGTATGAGCGCGCATATGCGCAAGTATTTGTGATAAGTACGAAGAAAAGAGAAAAATTATGGATAACAGGGTAGACATATAAATAATATATAACTTATCGTCTCTGGTTTATAATGCATGCAAATATAATTTTTTTCATTACTTTCTGATGTGCGTGTAGCATAAAAGCGTGTTCGCGAATGAGGAAAGCTGAAGCTGTTGAAGTGTAAGGCTTGCGGGAAAATCGAGCGAGTAAGAGAAAGAGAGAGAGAGAGAGAGTGCGGGTGGGAGGTACGGACGGAGTAGATGAAAAAAGTAGTAGGCAGCCTTGGACATTATACAGTAAGTTGCATGTTCGATTTGCAAAGGATTTAGGAGCTACAATCGTTGCACTTTTGATGAAAATGTTTAAGAAAATGTTTAATCAATGAACATTTTACAATAGGTAAACAAAATCATAAGATCGACGGTATAAGCTATGTAGGCAATTTCGATGTGCAAACGCAATCACGTGTAAAATGCTGCTGCTACAGCAGCACCTATATACACTCAAAGAAAGAGCCAAAAGGCCCGTTTACTTAAAATGTGGAGAGACTGTACCAACTGCGATTTTAGTTGCACACGATGTAACTGCAGCTCATTATATGCTCAGAGAGCTGATCTGTTAGCACTAGAGTCAATAGATGCGATAGATGTACTATACACTAGCACAAACAAAGTAAGTCTGGTCGATTGTCTCACTCCGTCGCGCGCTGTCTGGTCGTAGTACGCGAAGAGCGTAAAATGTACACGCTACGCATCGCGCACTATGATATCCGTGGCATGTGTATGTGTATAGCATGTACTTGTATGCAGTGCACATGTACAGAGCACACACACACCGCACACGGCATCAGCACACACGAGTCAACGAGTGTCGCTGTCTAAGTCGCCTCTAGCATTGTACGTTCTACTGGTATGACTTTAGTCTATTGCAATGTGTAAGTGAATGCACACACACATGCAGCTGCACACTTATACTAGTATCAGAAAGTATACGAACGAGAACTCGGCGCGAGTGACGTCTATATGTATAGCGACTAGCGAGCGCTGACTCCCGAGCGGGATAGAAGCAAAACAGCGACTTTACTACTAAGCTACCTGAATCGTAGTACTGAAAACGTATACCCGATTGTCCCATACATGCGTGTTTTATCTGTGTTTATTTAAACTAATACAACTACACGACTACAATTCTCTTTTAGTATCTGAATAAAATATAGCAAACGAATGTAGTTTTGCACACACTTACAATACAGCTGTAACTTTTTCGCTCCCGCCTATCTTAATTGTTATAGACTTATAAAGAGTACTCGCAAACACCTAATTCACTAACATTCGCAGATACAAAAACTTTTCTTTATAAAATATAATGGTGCAGCGAAAACCTTCTATAACTCCGACTCTTTTCTAAAAGTACATGTGTTTTAAGTAAAATGGCACTTTATTTGGCAATTAAAAACGATTGATGGGTACCTTAAAGATGAACTTATTCCTGGGCTATCGTGAATATTTAAATAAACAAAAATACGAATTAAATTTTGACGCAAAACATTTTTATACTTTTATTAATATAATTCTCTGAGAAAAAATTGATAATAGTTAAATATTTTTTTTTACGATTTATAACTCTATCCTAGTCCATAAATTGGTTATCTGGTAAAATTTTCCATCCATTTTTGGGCTGCCTATAGTAAACTTTAGTAATATTTATTTAAACTTTTTTATTTAATTTTTAAGAATGACCGAGGCTGCTTCATAAATTTCGAACCACATATATTCATTATTAATGCTTTGAGTCCTCGAAAATAAAAATGCAAACGAGTTAGCTAAGTTCAAGGTCATTGACTTAGATGGGCCGACTATAACTAGTTGGCATTTTTTAGCTTTAATCATTTCTCGAGAAACATTACTAGCTTTTTTATCAAGTATAAGTATTCATTTGGAAGAGCTTTTTTGCTATAAAAAGATGTTTTTAGACATTTTTTTAATGTTATGCGCAATTTAAGGTGAGCAAAGGGAAAAATTTTCGTTAGTGGCTCATAACTGGCCAATTTACCCAATTGGTCTCGAGTCGATATTTTGAACAGTTTCGTACTAGTTTTCAGAACAGTACCAAGCATAAGAAAAACGAAATTTCAATATTTTTTCTTTTGTAAACTAAAGACTTTAACTAGAAACTGTTTCGATAATTCGAGGATTTCTGTTTTATTTAGATATTTATATATATTTTTTTTCACGCAAAGTACCGGATAACATGCACGCTTTGTTATACTGTCAAATCAGCTGTTCGGTAAAATGACAACTTCGTGACAACTCAAAAACACCCTATAAACTTATGCTTTCGAAATGAATGCTAGGACAATCATTTGTTTTAAAAATTGAAATTAATTTCATTTTATTTTAGAAAGAACAGTTGGGCGAAGGGTGGTTGCACCAGTAACTGGCCACAATCTAATGATTGCTCAATTTTATTCTAGTCATAAAAACGTTAGACCCGTTTTAAAATTATTTTTAATCAAATTAATTATTATTTAATAAGAGTTTTTTATATTTTACAAATTGCTTTTTCAAATAAATTAAAGGAAATATATGGTATTTTTACAAAGAAAAATGTTTTTTTGGCTTTTACACTTGTTATAAGTATCATCTGAAAAAATTCTGGGAAAATTTGAGGTCGTGTATTTCAAGACCAAAAATAATTGAAATAATTTTGAAGCTTTGTATGAAAATTTTGATCGCCAGGTATACATTTTTGAAATTTTCAATTTTTTTTTTTTTTCTTAAGCCCTGGACATTAAAAAAATCGGCAAAAATTTAGGATATTTTGGACTGTTGAAAAGTACCTCTGTGGATTTTTTTCAAATTTTTCAAGTCAAAAAGGACTTCAAAATCGATTTCAATAGAAAACGGGTGTGCATATATATTTTGACATAGTCCACATATATAAGGGCTTACGTTCATGTCTGTATAATGAGTACACGTATGTATGAACGTTGCACAATGCATCAGGACATTCTGTACTTGCAGGCATCTCTAACTGCGATTTCATCGCAATAACGACGCTTATTCATTTATCATAAGCAGAGTGAAAATATATCATTCAAATAAATAAAAAATGAATTAAAAATAAATATTCAATTTATATAGACAGAAGGTTGATAAGCCCTTACTTAACTCTAATAATTTATCAACCCCGAAATAATTGTATTATCATCACATATTAGAAAATATATGCACTTCCATTTACGCTTTAATTTAGTATGATCTATTTACATATTCCCCATCGATCTGTAAAACTTCTTCGGTGTTCAGTGCATACACTTTTAGGCGTTTTAGTTGTATTCTTGTATCCCACCGTAACTGACGCCGGCAGAGCCACACGTTTTATATTACACATAAGCTTCGTGTCTATAACTCTCAATAAGGTTTCAAACTTTCAAATCGTGCCGTCAAGTACTAAATAGTTTATCAAAGTTACTCATAGGTAATAATTTCAAATTTTGCAGTATTACGGTGTCAACAGATATACAACTATCGCAGTGTTAGGTTAACTCTCAAGCCACGTCAACGATAATAAATTCACAACAATGACGGTAAAGACTTTTTTTGCAAAATTTTCATTTATTTAATTTTTCTGAATATTGTTTTATCAAAATAGTGACTTAACTTTATTATTTAACTTGCTTGAATAAAAACAAACCACTTCCTGAAGTTCAAAATAATCATATAATTTATCTTTTTACAGCTAGAAATTGAATCAATGTCTAGGTACATCTCTCCCATCAATCCATCAGCATTTCCAGTATTATCTCTTGTTTTACTTTTCATTGGAATCTTTTTCACAGCTTGGTTTTTTGTCTATGAAGTAACAAGCACAAAGTTCACAAGAGATTTGTTCAAAGAACTTCTTATTTCTTTAGTAGCTGCTATATTTTCAGGTTTTGGAGTATTATTCCTTATGTTATGGGTAGGAATATATGTGTAGATTTAATTAAAATGTTTATATAGTACACAGACTTTGCATATTTTTACAAAATAATTTCATTTAGACATATGTACGCAAAGTGATGAATTTGATTTGAAAAGAAAAAAAAGCAATACAATTGTAAATTTTGATAAAGTTATGCTTTTATCTGTTGTATTTGTCATACAATATTAAAAAAATTCATTTAAAAATGTTAATCAATTTTCACTTTTTAATTTTATGCAACAGTCTTTAATGAACTGTTAGCTCTTACCATTGAGTGTCAATCAATAACTGTGAAATAATAAATATGAATCTTTATCAACGAAATTGTTCTGATTTATACTTTAAAGTAAGCCTATTACTTATATTACAACACATAATGTATTAATTGAAGTTTCAATACCAAATAATTTTAAAGAAATAAATAAAATAAAAAACATTCAATCTTAATAATCTTCAACAAAAAGAACAATTAATTCATATTCCACTACTTGGATGAAATTGAATCAAAGAATTGTTTTCTCCTTCAACCCCCCCCCCCCAAATTTTATTTGATTAATAACATTTTTGAATGGCTAAAGTGTGAGAAAATAAGTAGTTACAAATTTAATTTTCATTTTTTTTATTCTGAAATATTATTAAAAAATAGATTGTAATACAGAAAATATAGTTTTTTTATTGAAATTTCAACAATTTTACAAATTTAAAAATTGTATTTTATTGCAACATTTATGAATATATATAGTTATTGAAAATCACTTTTAAAATTACATTTTATTCATACCTACTATGTTTTGATGCACTTGGAAATAAAATAATTTGTTCCTACAAGTATCATTTAACAGGTAACGGTTAGCAAACAATTTTCATAACTAATATCTACAAAAGTTCATTTTTTTTCTTATTGGACATAAAAATTTTATTTTCAGCACATATTCAAAGCAATTAAATTATCATCACTCATCAATATGGTAGCTTTAATTGAGCCCAATATTTTTTGAACTAATAAACTGACAAAGTAACTTATTTTATATATTTTCTTGTATTTAATCGCAATTGAAAGAAGTCATTAACTACATGATAGAAGTAATACAAAAAATATATAATTATACATTTTGGGAATTTAGAACTAAAATGGCCAGTAAAACCTTATGTGAATACTAATTAACTTAATGATAATTTGAATATGTAAAAAATTCAGCTTCTACTTAATACTATATTAGTTTAAATTATGGCAATACTTTAAGAATAATAATATTATTGTTTATATAAATCAATTTTCATTTCTAATTAAAAAGAAAAAATATATTTACAATCAACCAAGTTGAACACTTAGTCAATACATAGATTAATAGTTTTTCAACAAAATGCATAGAATGTTATAACTGGTCATGCCACAATTCATCAATAAAAAATAACTGAATTATGGATGGACAAACATCACAATTTTATATTATAACTTAAATTAAAATATTTAAGAAATTCGTTAATAGTAAAACTTCATTGTGTATATCCAGAGTAAAGTTTTAAAATTGATATACCTATTCATGCACTACCAGAATATTTGTATATTACTCGTACAAAACCGATAAAATTTTCAGTTGATGCTTCAAAAGATTTGATTTTATATATTTGAGATTCACACTTTGATTTGTATCTACATCTGTACACATTCAATAACATTTACAACAATGATATTGCACTATCATTTTTAATAAACCACAATCAATTTATCAAAACATTTACAGTTAAACGCTATTCTCATTTTTGTGGTCATCAAAAAAGTATACAAACATAATTTATATTTACAAAAATAGAAATCCTCGGTAGAGAAAATCGTCTCATTTTTAACTTATTAGCTAATAAGTGAGGCACTTGTCGAATAAATATCGATAATTGTGCGTATGTATCATTATAATGTTCGATAGTTAAGCCTAGGATCGAACCACAACATCGATTGAACGAAATCAAACAATGGTCAGACGTAGACTTCGCTGCGCTGATCGGTCGGTCCATTGGTAGACTTGTCTAAGAAATTGAGACGATCATTTAAACTGATCTTTCTAGCATTTTCCTCGACGATTTTCGGCGTTGTTGTAGGCTGATTGAAACTACCGCTTCGCTGTCGAGGCTCGTCATCAGTGTCGGTTGGTTTTAGCAGCGTCGACGCAAATGGCGGTGGTTGCGTCAACTCTACATCGGCTGTGGTTGAGACTTTTTCGGATGGTGGTGAGACAATCGTGTGAGGCAATGACATGCTGCGATCTTCGCGAATTTGATCAACCATTGAGGTAGATGTTGCGCCCGGCAAAGAAGTTGATCGTCGAGCTTTGCTATGCGAGTTGGACTCGACTGTTTTGGACTTTTTTGTCGGTGACATCGGTATCAGCTTGTAATTTTGCACGTGCTATAAATTTCAAAATAAATAATAGTTTAGTAGTGATAACTTTATAATTATGTGTTAATGTTTTTTTAGCTATGACAATAACGTTAATTTAAATACTTTATGGTTTATTGGAGACATTAATTTCTAACGTTTCGGTTGATTTATTTTTACAAAATGTTTACATTAAAATGTTCATTCAAGACAATAAAATTAAAATGATTTTATATGACTTTACATCCTGTTGCACTTATATAAGATAATATAAAATACATAAAATTACGTTGAAATATTAAGGCATTAACGTCGTTAATTAGAAAAATTAGGATTGTGCAATTGGAAATAAACTAACAAGGAGACCACCCCAGCTCCGGGTCATGGATTTGTTCCAAAAATTTTTTGGGGTCTCCTGGTACCCAATACTGATGCTCCCTGTGCTTAGTTTGATCTCATGGGTCTTGGGGCCCATTTTTTAGAGGATTTTCCACATTATAAAAAAATCTTTGTTATTTTCTAAATCGATATAGAAGTACTTAAACGAAAAAATGCAACGATCAAAAGTTTTAAAAACATCTCATGCGTAATTGATTAATTGCGCGTTATCGAGCCTCAATTGCCAGAGCGGTACGTTGTAATAAGTATGGTGACCACTTCAAGAACACGCTTAACAAAAAAAATGATGTAAAAAATTTGAATATAATTTATAGGGAAATTTTTCACATTTAAAATGTCTCAAGCTAATTATTATTTTGACACTCTATTGATATTTGCTATTGTTTTATCTGATCTCATAAAACTACATATTGCAACGTGTAAAAAATAATGAGGAGTTTTAATTGTTGTATATAAGTGGGCGGTAACTCTTGTTATCTGTCAACAAGTATAACGTGAAGGGCGTTAATGATCATAAGAAAAAGAATGTCTCACCCAATCGGATTGGGCCACAGTATTGAGTTTTTGCGGATCGACGATGATGGGCGAGCAACTGGTGTAGTCAGCAGTCTCGGGCAGTTTGTCGGCTGGTTTTACGGAGCTGGCGTTGTTGGGCTGGGACTCGTCGTCGGTGCCGCTGCTCGCGTTACTGCTCAATTCGGTGATGGTGGCCGTCACCTGTTGGCCCGGACTTCCGAACTGCGACGGGGCAATCGTGTTGATGCAGGCCTGCCGATGACGATTGGCGAAGGACAAGCTGTCGGGGCTCGAGACCAACTGGCTCAACGCGCTCAGGGTCACGGGTATCGCAGCCACTTGCGCGGTCACGCTCGCGCCGGACTTGAGACTCTGCGGCAGCACCGAGTGAGCCAGATGCTGCGCCGCCGATTGACGCGCGCCCACGGGTGTTCCCAGCTCGGTTTTTTCTGCAAATTAATTTCGGTCGATTGGCGCAACTTTGTTCGCTGGCCCAGCTGCGGCTCGACGGAACCCCAGTGAATTACCTTGAATCGGTGATAGCTGTACGATGTTGGCCGGACTGTTGACGAGTAGAACGGCTTGGCCTTGGAGCACCGACACGTCGCTACTGACGCTGCTCGCGGGGTTGTGGTAGGAGGTGGCGTGCGCGGCGGGCATCCCGACGATGCCGGCACCGATGCTGGCCACGTTGCTGGCCGATACAGCCAGTCTCTGCTCGCGGTCGATTACCTCCTTCGTCACGTCCGGGGTGGGTATCCTGGGCCGATTTTTCAGCGACGTCGGTATCGAGTTCAACTTTGTCAGAGTACCTGAGAAGCAGCAGCGTTTCACGTATATCGGTCTATTCGAGTGCGTCGCTGTTTTGCACGAAGAAATGACAATTGGAACTGGTCGAACCTTGTCGTCTCATTCCACGGCCCTGCATACTTTTGCGCCTGAGCCGTTCGTAAAACGACTGCTTGGCACTCGGCGGCCCCGGGATACCGGCCTCGGCGTTCTGTAGGGGATTTTCCGGACTGCTGTAAACGCTGTTGTGTCGATTGCGCGTGAAAAAGTTGCCACCCGCCGGGCCGCCGCTGCTGTACGTTGTCGAGCTACTGCGAACCGATCCCATTCGCGTGATCGTGCGCTGCAGCCAGTTCTTCGATTTCCGCTCCACCAAGGGCGTATCGACGCTTTCCTGTGCGGCCACGAGTGAAAACTCTTTGATAATTCAACGAAGCTATTGACCAATTGCTATTTATATCGATATTTTTTTTCATCTTTGCCCGACAAGCTAATTGTATTTGAATATTATTTCAAAATTATTTTTGTACTTGTTTCTTTCTCTGTGATTTCCATCCAGGTTTTCCGTAAAAATATTTATCTCGATTTAATTATTATAGCCGACCGATGAGTATTTCGATTGTCTTTGTAAGTTTGCGGAAGCGATCGTCGCTTGTGGGTTGCTTACAATACTCACATAATCGGCGTAAACATCGTCCTGCATATGAGACTGCTTATTGCTGCGATTGGCCGGGCCTCCGTGTACGTGCGTACCCATGAACACGTTGGCGTAGAGGGCGTCGCTGCTTTTCACCTTGTAATGCTCAGCCGAGCCCTTGGGCTCCTCCTTGCGGTACTGCTCGCTGGCCACGGTGTACGGCAGGTCTTTTGGCACGACCTCGTCCCAGTACTGATCTTTCAATAGTTCCGGATGTTCCTCGTGCATCTCGTCCACTATCATGTAGCCAGCCTGTAGAGATCGTCGTATTATTATTATTTTTTTCTTTTTTTTTCTCAACAAAAAAACATATTGTAATAGTATATTTCTACCCTAGGCCGTGAAAAAAAGAAAAATCTCAGGGCATGTGCAATTAGTTTTGCAGCTTAGGCCTGTACACTATTTTCCATACCCAATGGTCTGAAAATTGCTTTTTCCCGACATTGCATACTTCTTTACTACATTCGCGAGATTGCATTACCCATGTGAATATAACGACGAATAACAATATGAAAATATGTCATTTAGTTCGCGACAATTGTAAGATCATTATTTTACATTTTTTCTCATGACATATCGATTTCATATGTGCCAATTAATATGTTGACTCGTATTGTTGTTTTTATATTATAAGTTGCTAACTAATTAATCCCTGAAATTTGTGATGTAGGACTTTTTACAGTCGTACATTTCTCCTCTTCGATTGCTCAAGCTCTTAAATAGCGTTGCACGGCGCGATAATTTTCATCAATTGCATACGCTCGCGGTGCAGTGAATCGCGGTCACTCGTTGCTTTAATGGATTGACACTAACAGATCGATTTTGCCTCATAATTTTTTCTTCAGATGATAAAAAGCCCCGAAGCTACATAGAGTGAAGCAATTTTAGGCAAGGACAATCGTAAAAGGTTGAGCAGTCTGCGTACCTTAATGTGTCGATCGATCAGCCAATTGAGCTCGATGTCGTCGTCGTCCTCGCCGAAAGGATTGATCAAAACTTCGGCGACTTTTAACCAGCCAACGTAGAAGCAAAACTGTAATAATATGGCGTACAATAAAAACAACATATATGTATAGCGTATAATATACTCCAAGTACGGAGATCTGAATTGTATGTTACGCAAACATTTCCGAGACATTGGAGTCTGAAATCTTGTCGGTACTCGCCACTCACCTGTAAAGCCGTAAAGAATGGAAAATACATGTCTGGGACTTCGTATTTTCCGCTGACTGACGAATCTGAGTGGGATATGAATTGTCTGCCCAGTAGAGCCGAGAAAAAGTACGCGTATAGAGATAGCGTTACAACCTGAAATATAAAAATCGTTGTGAGGCTTTCATAGAATGTAAATGTTTAGGAGCTTCCTAACGACTTCATTTTAATATAATATTATTGAAAAAGACAAATAAACCGTACCAATATACTATACTATGCTCATGAGTTTGTAATTGAACATGTTAATATATCCATTCTTTATGTGACAAAATATCAAAAATGAAATCTCCCTGAAAACAAATACACAGCGAGCTATTCTCTGTGTTTTTGGTGTATATATGCATAATATATATCTATATGAATATATTTTGTTTATATCTGGGACATTTATGTATATTATAGGTATACAAAAACACAGAAAACAGCTAGCGGTGCATCTGCCTTCTAGCGAATTTCATTTTTGACAGATTGTCTCGTAGTAGCCCGTGAAGCGTACTTGCGCATCCTATTTTTTTGCAATGAACGTTCTTTAATATTAATGTATTGGGAGTATATGAACAACTTTGATGAGAGATTTTTATCTTATTATTTGTTTTTGATTTGACATTTGGATTTACAAAATTACTCGTTTAAAATTTCGTTTGAATACTGCTTCAAAGTATCCTTAAAAGGGTCCGATAACATTGAGAAATAGAAAATTCAAACTCAAGCTTGTATAGATATAGGATAAATCGACCTATAGAAGGCCCAAATTTAAGGGTTTTTCCATTTCAAATGAATTCTGTAAGAGAATATGCGTGGCTTATGCTCTACTTTTATTATCATTGCACTTCACGTGATATAGTTCAATATACATGCATAGATTCACTTTACGTAACGATATTACGTAAGAATAATTGATTCATCTTGGCGTTAGATATGCCACCACAAACTTTACCAGTATATCCGGAAAATATACCATACTACAAACTCATAAAAAAACGCACGCTATACCTGTGCGTATGCCCCAGTGCATCTTCAAAGTGAATCTTTTTTCTTGCTCAATTCCCACATCGATACTCAAATTTTGAAGATGTTTTCTTTTAAATAAAATAGAACTATACAGAGATAAAGATTATACCGTGATAAATTTAAATTTTCGCAAGTTTTAATTTTTTTTTTTTCAGTAAAAGTCATAAAAGTTGAGATGCAGAAATATTTGCAGTATATTACGATTTTAACGTGCAAAATGTCGTTGCTAATTTATATTCTATCGACAGGAAGTAGTTATGTGTGAGCGCGTATGTGTGCACGTGTTCGTGTATTTGTATAATTTATCAATGTTTTTTCTTAGTGTAATTAAGTATTATATATTCGACAGCTTTGCTCGCACACGAGAACCATCACAATCGCTAGAGCTCGCGTGAGTCATATATTTTCTGATGTGCAACAAAGAAGCAATTTACACATATTACATTAGACATACTAACGCAGCATGAATTATATACAAAAATTATAATTTCGCTGCCTGCGTAGCAGTCTATCTATCTTCCTCTCGTGGGTCACATATGTGACTATCAATCACGCACGGATCTTGCCGACTTACGTCATCAGGATCTAGTAAAATTTAGCCCAAACTTCAAATCAGCAGTATCGAGCTGCCAGAGATCAAGTCGAGCTTTCAAATTAGTGAACGGTGAGCTTGGCAGCAGCAGAAGTCGTAAACAAAGACTAAAGTAATGTAAACCCGAATACATTCTAAGCCATTCCTAGCTTATTGACGTCTACCATTGCAATAGCGTGGCCTATTCCACGTCAAGCATAACATGCCAAAAAATATTGTTAAAACTAAGTATGTAGTCTTAAAGAGTAAATAGAAAAATAAAAATAAAAAAACTTCAGCCTTCTTGGTCCAACTTTCATGGATCTGCAGGAACTCAAAGTTATGTTTTTTTTCACGCGGTGATTTGATGAGGTGTGTTTTTTACATAACCGACAATTCATCCCTTGCACAGATATTACCGATGCGCACTCGAGAAATTATAGCAATATCTTTATAAGCCAATTTGCCAAGTTGAAAAAATTGCATGGATATCCACGTGGATCAGATATCGATACCACTTAAATCAGACATGGTTTCCAAAGTAGGCAAGCATGGTGGGCAAATTTAAAAATGATTATGAGAACAAATTAAATTTACATTCACAATCGATAAACAACTATTTAAGAACAATAGTCGAAACTAAAACATCACCAAAATCCCGAAATAAAACTGAAATCCTAGCAAGTTAACAATTTAGTTTAAAAAATATATAAAATATCAAATATAGTTGAATGAAAAGGCAAACAATGAATTCAAGAAGACAGACGTAAAACTTTCCGAATCCTTATTCTTTTATGCTTATGAAAAACAGGAAAGCGAAGATAAAAAACATGCAATTGACTTTTACCTGCGTGTAGACGAGTGGCACACAAACGGTATCGTAACCAATCAGACCACCGAGTTTTTTGCGGATGTCACTGAGCTCAACCAGGAGAGTTTGTACTACATGGTCGCTTGTGATCAACTGCTCCTTACGCGCCCTGTTGATAATGTTCGTTGCCCAGACGAGTGGCATCCAGTATTTCGACATCCCAGCTTTCTTGTTCATCATTTCAAATATCTTCTTTTCCGACTCCATCATCAAACCTGACGTAAATTAATTTATCATTATAAAGTATTATATACGTGATTTTTTATTCGAATTGATTAAATATTATATACGTGATTTTTTATTCGAATTGATTAAACATAGGGTACTTATACCAGTGATTGACCACTTTCGACCAGTAAATGACCACTTTTGGATGTGCAATAATTATCGTTTTTCCTTGTTAAATTATGATCGAACATAGAAAACAAGATGCATCGTTCACTAAAGAATTGAATTCCGTCCATACAAATATATTTTTAATCGTTTTTCATATGATATTTTCCAAAATGGTCATTCACTGGTACCCGGTCATTGATTGATCTGGCTACCCTAGGTTTTTTTTCTCTACGAAAGATGCTCTCTGTGTGTAATATTTGCTATAGCATTATCTTAAGAACGGAATATAAAATCGTATCTAAATGAACTAAATTTATTGAAATTAATTTATTGAAAATTGTTAAGTAATATACTAATTGATTTTTTTAAATTCTTTCGCTCAATTCCACGGGTTTATTCTGAAAGTAAATCCAATTTTTTGAATTTAGTATAATCTACATTTGAAATTAACAGCGATCATCCTGGAATAGGGAGAAAACGATTATTAGCCTCGGTAAATTATACATTCAAATTGATAAAAAATCCAGTTTCATCCTTAAAAACAATAAATTTTTAATTTGTACGCGCAATCTGATCATTGAGCATTGTTTTGGGCTACTGGTAACAAGAAAAATATGCAAAAATTCACGTTATAGTTACAAGACGCAAAGGGTGAAAATACTATTTTACGTACATTATTTTATAACACTGTGCTAAGTTCACATTTATGCCCCCTTTTCTGGGTCGCTGCGCTCGGGCCCTAAACTACGCCGTGCCAAAAAGTGTTACTTATGCCACTTGTATCGTAAATTACTAATATAAAAGTGGACCCAACAGAGCACACGTATTATGTACTTTAAAAATCACTTTTATTTTTTACTCTGATTTGTTTAAAACAAGAATTGCTTAGTATTAGTCAAAAAATTAGCGTGAAATTTTCCAGAATTAAAAAAAAATACCGTTGATATTTGGCATTTGAAGCAGATTTTGTAAAATCTAAAACATTTGAAAGAAAAGTCTTTTTTCCTCGATTAGATGTACCTATGCGTACATTACATTGTGTTCAATTAACAACAGACTGACTCGTGTCCGTGTGCGTACGATATATTTTATCTGTATATAAGCGTCGGTCGATGGTCATATAATGCAAACTCACTTTCACTTCTATATCACCGCACATGTATTATGCGAGACGCGCGATATTTACTTATATTATAAAGTACGCGTAAAAACGAGTAAAATAATTGTGCTGCAATGTCGATAAAGCCGTGAAATACCACAGTGCATGAATACGATTTTCACCTCACTAAATTTGGAATTCGCGGCAATGCACGTGCTAAATTGCGACAAAAACTTTCATCCCAATTATCGTGCACGTGAGAAAATGAAGGACTACTATCCCTCTCCTCTTCGGCTGTGACTTCAATTTTAATCCTATTAAAATATGTATTTTGGATAATCCTGCAACTTCTTGAGATACTGTATAAAATATATCACAAGTTGGAGGCGAGTTGTATATCACACGTAGAATATATGAGAGATATTAGAGAGAAAATCCGAGGTTCTGGTATATGCAGGGACAAGGTCACACTTTTAGCATCCCACTGGCCAAGCCGCTCATCCCTGTGCGCACAGGAGACATTCACAAGCAAAAACGAGTTTCGTACATATAAGCTTCCTAAGACTAAAAATACCAGTGCTGTTAGCACGCAAGGCAATGCACGAGGATATCAGGTACGTCGACCTTGAGCAGCAGCAGGGATCGGTGGGATGGAACACCCGTTGCTGGTTAATGCACTCCTTGGCTCTTATCAACCTGACTGTTGCTACTCGCCTTTTTCAAGTTTATATTTTAACAGTCCTGTGAGCATCTGCAAACTCAATTTCCTTTTCATCTTGCATTAAGAAAACGTTTTCTTCCAAGAACAGTTCAAACACGAAGAAAGCTGGGAAACGTGCCAAATTTCGCGCGAGGCTTCACGTTCACGCATTTTAATAAATTTTTATGATGCGTCGATTACCATCTAAAAATGAAGCTCACCCAGTTTATCGACGTAGTAGTTTTATTTTCTTTCTCTAAATATTTTTTACACGATTTTTGACTAATCGATTTTGCATATACTAGAGTAAATAATTATTTTCACAGCAAAAACGGTGATAGCTTTCTGAATTCTCGGTTCTAATTAATACATCCGACTGACAAACTAGTTTTTCACGTGTATAAAATCACCAACATTATTATTATAATCTTCAAACAAAGGTTTCATCAAAGTTCACGAGCGAATTAGCATTTCAAATATTACGAAATCGAGTTTTCTTCGGCAGACTTGAGCACATAAACTGAAATATATGTCATATGCGAGCGCGGAATCGCGAAATATTAAATATTTTTTCAGATAACCCAGAGGCTTATTTGCGGGACAATTCCTTTTCTTTTGAGATGAGATGATTTCAGAGTTTTTGGATTCTCCCATGCGAAGCTTCTTATTTGACAAAAAGAGCACTCCGCTCAAGCTGCTGCACGTTTAACATAAATTCGCGTGAAAAATGTATGTGATAAATCGGTGTGCGTACGGTACACGATGTGTGTATTGGAATGCTTTTGAAGCTTTTGATGCCCTCGATGCGCTGACTCGAGATAAATAAGGAAAAAGCTTTCTTTCTTGCCCAGCCGTTTATATTGTTAATGTGTAATGTGTCGAGAGCTGATAATTTTCGCTTTATTTTTCATATTAGTTCTTTCTTATGACTTTGAATTTTGCAGAGATTTTTCTCCAGTGGGTTCAAGATTAGCAACAGGTATTCTCGCGTGTAATACCCGATCGGTGGCATTTTTATAGTAATTAACTATTGAGATCATCTGGATTTGTTGCGGTAGTAGCAGGAACTCAAGCTGAAAAGTACCGTGAGTGCAAAAGGCGCCAGCTAAAATTAAACCTCGTACGCGTCGTCGCTCTGATTTTTCTCTCTCTTTTTTTCTGTTGCATTCAATCGAGCGTTAAACTTATTTTTTGCTTACGCACTTTCTCATCAAGGAACACAAAAAGTCCAGACAGAGCCTAAACGACGTTTATTTTTGGTTCTCTATCTTGAATTTGGTGCCTCCATATCTAATTATACTTTACTAATCTATATCATAATTTTACCAATGAATTCTGAATTCTTTTACTAGTAAATCAATGTTTTTATTGATTCAATATGTACACTTCGCAACAAAATTATTGCAACAACAATTTAAAATTATGTCAATTTTCAAATGCTTGAATCTCCGTTAATTTTGATCGTATCGAGACGATCTCTCTAAAGTTTCTTGGGAATTTTTAGTAGTTTAAAGTCGTATATTTTATTATATTTGAGTCAATTTAGAGTTTCCACAGTCGCTTTAAAGCGTAAAACCTAAAATGACAGAAAAATTCAATTATTTAAATGTGTATCTGGACTGTAGTAATTTGTTTATCAAAATCTAACATGCACCATCGTAAAGTTCTCTTTTCAATGAGTAATCAATAAAAAGGTTCCCTGATATTTTCTTTGCTCTCTGCATGCCCAGAGTGCTTGGTGCAGCTGAAATCGACTCGATTTGAGGCATTTTGCGTACGCAAATGGTACCTTCAAAATTGCCTAAAAAACTTTACGATGGTGTGTGTTAAATTTTGTATACTGGTACACGTTTGAACAATCAAATTTTTTCAATAATTTTTAGTATCGCGCTCAAATACTACTAGTAACTCAATATTGACTCGAACCTATTCAAAGGTTTGAATCAAAAAAATTCGTCTTGATACGATGAAAATAGACGAAGATAGAAGCATTTGAAAATTGACAAAATTTCAATGTTGTTGCTATAATTTTGATGCGGAGTGAATAATTATTCATTTTAACATAGAAACATCGCCACGCGGATTCCCGTTGAAAATAGAGGATACCATAAGCTGATAAATAATTGGTAAGTATATCCGACATGATTAAAGTGATATAAACGCACAGGCAATCCACCCTGATTACATTTAATAAATGTTAACATTAATAAACATTTAATAAAAATGCTCAAAGAACATTGCAGTTAATGCTATCGCACAGCATATATTATATATGCATGCATAAGCCAGGCGCTCGACTTTAAGTCCAACGCGAGCGTTGATAACGTGGCAAATGAAATTGACCAATAAAACTCACTGACCAACGTCGACGATGTGCTGAAGACTGGGAAATCGCCGCTTAACACGCAGCGAAATTCTTTGGAGCGTTATGACGTACGCAAGCACTGCATACCGAACGATATTTCGGCGCATCAGTCGACCTCGTTCGTCCTGAAAATGAGAAAACATAAAAAAACATGTCATAATTAATCATCGGGCAGTTTTAATGCTTGCAAATATCCTTCGAATGCATAAATTACGCAAGCTCCTGCCCGGCATAATGCGTACGTTTGGGATAACAAATTATTTATGTTTCACGCGATGACGCGTTTGAAGAGTGAAACACGGTATTGGAATATCCCATGATTTTTTTCTGAAGTTTTGATAATATTTCAGAGATAAAGTAAAATTTAAATATTAATATTCGATAAAACCATTTTAATGAAAATCTCATTTTCGCGTTCGAGGCCATCAAGCTGGTGGTTATCAAAAAAATTGTTAACGTTTGAGGTAGTAAAATTTTTCTCGCTAGATCGACATTTACAGTTTTGTTATTTTAAGATTATAGCCACCGACGCGATCAGCAAAGAAAAAGACGAATTGTTAAGATTTACGTTTCCAGGTATAGCGGCGCTGATAAACAATGCGAGGTTGTCCGGCCAAGGTAACAATTTGTACTGCTCCCACCACCTCTTGACCACCAGACTGACGTAGAAGCCCAGCACGAACGACATAGGTATCGACTCGCTCGAGTTACCAAAGTAGTATCGTATCTTCTCAAATATTCTGCCAAATATTATTGGGTTGAGTAATTTTTTATGGTCATTTTTCATTCTAGCAAGTATGTAAGTAAGAAAAAGTACCTTTGCTGTTCTTCGTTAAGAGCATACCGATAAATAAAATTAATAAAATAGTAAGCAAACAGGTAGACCAACAGCTCTCGCCAAATCAGTTTATAGACAGAACCTCGCCACCTGTAAAACAATGCGTGGAATTAGTTTCTATGGGAGACGTCATTGAGCAATTGTCGAAGCTTGTATATTTCAAAACATTTTTTAATTGGCATTTTACTGCGTGACCAATAATTTCTCTTCAGCTTACTATCGAGCATCCAATCATCTTATGTATTCATTTATTTTTCCGATTACATATTAAATATATTGATGTTATTCAGCATCATATTATTACGTTTTCTGTACATTTAAAAAAATATCAATAATGTTGTGATTAACGTGAAAGTATTGTGATTTTAACACAGCATCTACATTGATGAGCAAAAATCATCGAAATCTATCGAATTAGATAAATCATATAGAAGAGTCAAAGAAACGCGGGGAATATTCGAATGATGCATCTGATATAATTACAAATGCTGCACGCTGATTAAATCATTTGAAGTCAAAGACGGCATCGAGTTCGACACTAGATGTAATTATTCATTAAATATTTCCGCGTGTTCGAAGAGAATCGAGCTAACTTAATGGTAAATAATTGACTCCAAAATACGAGACGATGTCGTTTCGCTGCCGCAAGTATATGCAGCTTATTATAAATCGACAATAGATGCAGCACGCGTTATTTCTTTCTAGCTATTATAAAAAAAAAATCATCTTCGCAAATCGACATCACCGTCTAATATTACGGTATGATTTAACCGAGGCAGCTGGACTCTTACTCATGTATACAAATATTCTTGCATAACTAGTTGAGCAATTCGTCACAGAAGAAAAACTGTACTTACAGCTCAATGAATCTTTGCATAAAAAGCGAGAACGAACCAAATAGATTTGGAAAGCACATCGTAGCAATTTTCGATCCAATTTTTCTCACTGAACAGTATCAATGGTCATGCGAATGACTTCGTTTTCAAAGAAATTCAAAATTCAAGCGACGTAAAAATTAACAACATAACAATTTTCTATGTCAGTGGGTTAGCAGGTAGTGCATTCGCCGTCGCCACGACGACTTCGAGTCATGAGAGTAAGAAAGAGAAAGATAAAACACAAAAGCAATACTTGTATACTGACTATTGTGAGCTGCTCGATGAACTCAGTGTTTTATTTTTTAATTAATATCGCTATTATTATAATATATTTTTTTAATAAAAAAAAATTATTTGTTAATATTCAAGTATGTCCTTCGCCCTTGTATATGGAATGAATGTGTGCCAAGGGAGCCGGGAAAAATAATTCCAACCGTAGTTGCTAAGTATATTTCACGTGACTTGATTGTACAGTTTGGAGAATACTTTAATGTGCTAATGAATGCACAGAGATGAATTATATTTAAAATCTGCAGAAAAGCATAGTTTAATAAGCATTTTCTGTGACATTACAAAGTATAATAATTGTTTATAAGAATACTTTCATTGTTGACAGTGGAAAATTTCATAAAGATGCTGCAGCGAAAATAACGGTTTAATAAAGCCAACTGCAATTAGCAAGCTTCCATTATGATTCCAACTTTGTATTAGTAACATTATTGCTAACTGATCATGATTTGGTGTCTACATTGCCTTCATCTCAAACAGTGGTCATCCGCCATATGAGTGTACGTTTGACTGCTTTTAAATGATTTGCATTCAGCCTAAAATAGAAAATTTTCATCGATTTACATAGAAAAAAACTGCACAATTAGACAGTTTATAACCTTTCGCCCGTTGTACTTATATAATCTATGTATCGCAAATATCAAATTCATTATCATAAATATCGCGAGTATTTTACGTTTTATCTTTTTTAATAATCAATTGGACTATTCACTCATGCGCGACAATCGGCATGACAATAATTATTGTCAATAAATCAATGATATCCGCAGTCTAAGTAGAGGCAGCTTACGTAGAACTAGTTATTGTTTCTAGTGTACTGACGTTTCCGAAGAAAATTCCGTAGCGCTAGATGAACGCGTGACATCAAATAAACGTGGATACGTTCAGTAAAAAATGAAAACTTTCGTTGACGCCGGCTAAAAATATCCTTATCAAAAATAGTTTAACAATGACAAAATTTAATGACTACTTTATGTTCCTTACATAGAATATGTCGACGCTGATGGAAAAGATGCGTTCTTTGCACTACCTGCAGAACTGCAATGTTACCTCATGTGTAGTATATGTAACGGTACACGAAAACGACCGGTTAAAGAGAACGTCTGCCGTCTTTATTTGTGCTTATATGATACTATCATCGTGCTGTGCAAACTCGCAAGTATACTTGCATGTGTGACGTTTGCTCTAGTGATCTAGTGTCCCGAATTATTGGGGTTATTAAGCTCGTGTCTGGGATAACCAAGCTTCAAGAGCATTACGAAAACAGGCTCACATGCGTATAATAGCTTTGACGTAAATTTAAGAAAGCTTCGAATCCCCACAATTATGAGCCACTTCGATCCTTAAGCCTCATCGCAATGTGTATACGTCCACTCAATTTTTGAGCTTCAATAAACGAGATCTACATCTTACAGCGCCTGTTGACAAAATTACAAAATATCCATATTCATAAGTTTGATCAATGCTTATACATCTATTGTTCGTAGGAATGCCCCCTAGCTCTTCGCGTCTTACTCACTTTGTTATTATAAGTTTACTATATATGAGTATATTCTAATGAATAGGTATCTTTAAATATACTAATCAATTCAATTTCACCATTGAACGAGAAACTTTTAGACCGCTCGAATAGTTTTGGTCGAATACTTTTTGAATACGTTTGTTTGTTTTTTTATTTCAATATTACGGGTTTACCCACAACTTAAGATGACAATTTTGCTTCTCCTATAATCCACTGGTCTCATCTTAATATGAAAACAGTTTTTGATTCAAATCAGGTATTACGAACACAAATCCGAAATTAAGAACGAGTATTGCCCGTCATCCATCGATCCAAATTGATGAAAAGTTCATTTAGTGAGACTCAAATGATGCTTTTCACTGATAGCGAACTTTCTATGCAGCGTCAATGTAATAAGCCTCACGACTCAGTCCATCTGCGCTAGACATATTGAGCTATCGTCAAAATTGTACTGATTTCGGAGAAGATTCGACTCCGTACTTAATGTGTAACTATTTATATTTGCATTTGTATTTATACGAGAAAAACTGACAGGTAATATGAAGCTTACCTCTTTTTTCTTACATAAATGACCATTTTATGGCAGATGATCGACAAAGATAAAGAAAACAAACGCAAAAAAATAAGATCGTCAAACAAAAGTGATTCGAAAATGCATGGCTTTGAAAAGAAACCAACTGGCCGCTTGTTGCATGGTACCAACTCAACTGAAATTATTTCACATTTGTAATTACAACTTGCTCTCGATTATTCGTCATGTTTCATCGCGAGAGTCTGCTTAACAGATCAATGGCACGAGACCGTGTTTCGAATGTTTATTCAAATTTACTTGTTTCATTTCTAGAATCGCTCTCTTACTCGACCATACACAAGTTACTTAAAAACGATCGAGTTTTTTTTTTGATCACCGAGAAATCTGCTAAAAAAAGTTTAATTGCTATCTCTTTGCGGTAATGCGTGGATAATTCGAGCCGCATTTATAGCTTAGATTACGAAAACGAATCGGCGCAAGGCTACTCATTACAAATTTAATAATGAGCGCACCAACAAGGCCAACAACCGGCTTTGCTTTAAGCGAAGAGGAACCACTACGTCCTTCGATTGCAATCTCTTGATGCACGGAAGCATATACCACTCTCAATTTGTATATTATTTACCCATGTGGGATCAATGTATTTCTTATTGTTACAGGCAAACAGTGATAATTGTGACAGCTTTTGTTCTTTAATTACAAAGAGAAGATAAATTTCGACTGTGGCTAAACGAAGACGATCGCGTCTGCACGTCAGATCTAATTATTCAGTCTAATCTCCAACGATGTATGCGAGTAAGAGGCATTTTTATAAATGTGAAAGAGCAATCGTGACAATGTCAGAGCTCCAATGCAAGGTATGACCGATAGGCTAACAAATCATTTACAATGCGTCATATTGACGTTATTTGTGTCGAGAAGCGCGTACAAGCTGCGTGCACAATCGGAAACGAACCATGCGACAGAAACTTTTCTGCTTTATACTTGGGTGGAATTCAGCACGTAATATAATAACAAATAGTCTGTACGTTGTTTATGCGATGGGCGATTGAGAGATCAGAGAGAGAGAGAAAATGGAAATTATTTACAAACATCCCATGAGTAGGTACGCATAGCTATCATTACCGTTTAAAAACTATACTTGATGTGCTGCATGTGTGCCGAGACAAGGTCGTTCGCATAGGTGTATGGACTATATAACGATAGGTACGTTGCATAACGGTCACGCTTGACGAGATCCTCGACAAGTAGCATGCACACAGAGACAACGAGCTGCAAAGAACTGGAGCTTCTGCGCGATCAATCCGCATCTTCGGGACTTGATTCTTCGCGTGCTGAACTATCGAGAAACGATACAATACGAAAACCGAGTCCTTGTCGGGCGATGCAGGCTCACAATGAAGAGACAAGAATAATTATCATTGTGAATCTTTTCACGTGCGAAAATCACGGAGCGGCTTGATTAAATTTCAAAGCAGTGGTCCTCGCGAGGGACACAACGATGCCATGAGTCGAAGTATCGAACAACTTTCCATTTCGAGGTGTAAATATGCGTGGCAAAGAATCGAGCCACGCAATTAGTTATGCATGACAATATTATCAATTATTAGAGCCATTGACGATTGCGTACCTGTGTGACGCGTGAGCCACCGAGCCCGCAGTTCAGTGCAATTTATGTGTGCAAGGCAAAATCTAGGCCCTGTAGCTTCCAATGATCCAGCCTCAAACAAGGATCGTGCATGAAGATAAAAAGTTTAAAGCATCTCGCAACTTTAACTTAACGTTTACATATTGGGAACTTTTTCAATGACAAACAAGCATAAATCAGTATAATCGTTAAAAAGAGAGTATTGCTTGATACTCGCAGGCTCAGTGGGGAAAGAGGAGGATTTCCATTTATACTAAATACATGTAGAGCTTTGAAACCATTGCCTGGACTAAACGAAATCATAGAGCACGAATAGCTGGTATGTACTTATCTTGTGACCAGCGGCTAAAATCCGTCTCTATTTTCTTCACGCGAGCTTTTTATCCTTGACCACTATGATTTATCTCGATTGAATATATAATCCTCCAATTCAGAAATATCCGTTATTGAGGCTTACGTGCGGGGATTCAAAAAGATCAGTAATAAGCGATCCTGCTAAATCCTGTCGGCGAGGACCAGTAAAATGGCTTCGGGCTGGGAAAATACAGTGGATTTTCTATTTCTGGAAACGCACCATTGCGCCATGATGAGAGATGTTATTAGGAATGTAAGGCGAGCTTCCTTCTTTTACGTACTTTATGAGTGCATGCAGATAGTAAATATGTATATCGCCATTGATAGGAAAGTGAAGTTCAAACTTACTCTCGCTGAAGCAGTAGTAACAACAGCAACGGCAGCAGCGTCAGTGCACGTGAAAGTGCGGCCGTGAGTTTGGAAGAAAGTTAAAAGTCTGGCGCATTCTGGACTTCTTTATGTTCATGTATATACGCATAAATCGGCTTGATAAATAATCGATTTACCTAGACTATTTGTATCTTTGACCAACCGCTCGTCCAACAGACGCGAGCATGAGCAAGATCGAGCAACATTATGTAGCGTAGCACTTACATATTAAGACGTTCCAACGTTTTAAGTATAGGTCGATGGTTGCACGGCAATTATGAGAAAGAGAAATGACAGAGGTGAAAATATAAATCGAATCATGATGAAGTAAAATAACGATTAATTCATAATCTAGATTTATCTTTAGACAGTGGTAGACTTTTATACTATTCTGAACTTGGGGTCATTTTTTAAGTTTTACTAGCTTTCTTAAAAAAAAAAAGAATGATAATAATTATTGCACGCAGAAGCTCAATATGTATATCATAAGTTCGAGTACGCTTCTGAGCTTTCATCACGCGTTATGACAAACTTTGTTTCTTTCATTCTCTCTTTCACTGGTGTGAAAAATCGCCTTCGTTTCGTGAGCTCGTTCGATATGGTTACCATGAGTATCCTGGAACTTGTACTTGAACCTCAAAAAAGTGCCTGCACAAGCGAAGTGGATGTACCACGAAGCGATCATAGAAAATTTCAGCTCGCTCTTTTCTCATGCATGAGGTCTGGCACATTGCAAGAGACTTGGCTCGGTCGATGAAAAGTCTTGCGACGTGCTTTCAGTTGTACACATTATCGCGATCCTGGCAGCGATGCTTCGTCATGCATTAAACGTGTCTTCTCGGTAATTGTATATTTTCTTCTTTTTTTCCTTGATACCGATGTATCTTTCTCTCACTACTTCTTAGCATTTATACCTACGTATACATAATTTGACATTCCAAAGCTCGTACGAAATATAATTGCAGCTAAATCGATAATGTGCACTAGATTTGCTCAAGAAGCGTAACAATATGTTCAATAAATAAATTAAACAAAACAACAACAACAACAACAGCAACAACAAAGAAATAAACTACAAATTTTTTTCTATAAAAAAAATCTTATTGCTTTGTTGAACATTTTATTTTATCAAACGATAAAAGTGAAGTTTTGGTATAAAGAAAAAAAATATAGCGCAGACAAAGAGTAATACAGAAATAAGTATCGCACTTTTATACGGGTATTGAAATCATCCTGAACAATTGATAACATCGACTCTCACGTTTACGAGAGTTTATAAAACAAAGCACGAGAAGTGCTCACTTTTCGAATAAATTGGATTTGCTCGATGTTCAACGTGAATGAGCGATTGGAAAATCTATCGCCAGTTTTTATGCGACCAGAAATTTGAGAAAATGCTTTTCGATGTATGACCGATGAACGTTTACTATCAATGTACGCAATTACTTGAATAACGCTAGATTCAAAATAATGAACTACTTAATTTTGTAATTGATTGAAATAGTTAGGCAGGATTTTCTCTTAATGTTTCAAGGTCAAACTCTGCAGGCACAAATGTGCATAGATGCATAATGAATACATATGACGTACACTTTGCTTACGGAGTCGTGACATTTAACAATGTAATGTGTAACCTGCAAAAGTGTGTAAATTGATCTGTATGTATGGGTTTGAGTAGAGGCATGTTATATGCATACATGTATACGTGCACTACTCACGCGAAAGTAACTCTCCTAAGTTTTCTGTTGGCTCGCAATGTGTTGTGCAACGAGTATAAGCAGCAATGCCAGCCACGATAGTTCGGGCGTATCGCAACTTGTAGGCTAGCACCACGCATACATAATGATTTTTTATCGACATTTTACACTACGTTTAGCCTATGCGTTATAATGTATGCGAAAATTGCGAATTTATTATGATCTCCATTTCATCTCTATTTCTGCATCTTTGAGAAAACGATCAAAGGTGTCCATCGGCCGTCAAAATTGCAGCTTATTTGAACAAACGCTGCGATGCTCAAAGCACGTGCTTTGGCTTTGCAAAATTTCAGTCTTGGATAAAAAAAAAAATTGAAATCGTCGTACTGTAGAACATAATAGTTTATTCTTTTTTTTCTTTCGCTTCATAATGCAGGCCTTACGTCATCCGAGCGCGAGCGCGAACGCGTTAAGAAGCAGAAGACAAAACACGATCGTAATGCTTTTCCACGTGTCACGACGATTCTTCGCTTTTGTAATGCGATATTACATGCACTTTGTTATTTTTCCATTTTTCTTTTCATTTATTTATTTCTTTTATTATATCTTATCTAACGCGTATACCAAGAGAAGCTCGATTTTGTAACAAGCAAAACGGGGAAAAACAAAAATACAAAAGATCAAGAATCAAAATAGAAAAATCAAAAAGGCTCGTTACGTCGACGCCCCAAGAAAGAGAGATCGAGAGAAACAACCCTAGACCGAATGAGCCTAGGGAAGAGAAAGAGGAGAATAAACAGTGTACCGTACAAGGATCACTATTATGAAGACCGCACCTGTATCGAATAGGCGACGTAGAGTCACCTATCACAGGTATAAAGGTGCATAGTTGTGACGCCAAATGCCGAACTCGTACATATACATGTGCCTAACTCGGCACAAGCAAGGAGCACTCTTGGTATTAAAGTCTATTATATACACATAGCTCGGTAGTGATAAAGCAGTGGCAGCGGCAGCAGTGGAAGTTGTAATAGCAGCATCAGCAAAAAAAAACTCGCTGCATCGTGTCGTTCTGCAGAGAAAACTGGTTTTCAAGTCCTGTGCACAAACTCGGTGCAGTTTTAAGAGACTATACTTTGGTTTTATGCGCGCGTATATATGTGAAATAATATAGGGTATCGGTTGCTTTGTATCGTGGTAGGTGCAATCTGCTATTATCGAGCTTATACACTCATTCGAGCGCATATACGCACAAGCTCGACTTGGGACAAATCGTGAAAAAGGCGAAAATAATGAGATTCAGCTCGTACGTCCATGAAGAGAGAGAGAGAGAGAGAGAGAGAGAGAGAGAGAGAGAGAGCGAGAGAGAGAGCAACTAAAAAACAGCTGAGCTGCAGCGGACCAGCTGTTGTAATAACTCGCTTCGAATATACTAACACCGTGCACGATCGGTATGGGTGCAGTGTCACTGAGTGAATAATGCATTTGTACTACGTTGTCATGCTTTGTAAATTTTCCATCGGATCATTCAGAACTTTTTCATTGTTCAACGTACGAGTATTTTATACTCACTTTATAAGTATCCTCCAGAAGCAGCCAAAAGCCGAGCCGTTCGGCACTTCACTCGCGTACGATATCGTCATGTTGCAGTGGCCACTCGGATCTTACGGGGTATAAGCAGCAGCAGCGGCGGCGATAAGCAGCCAGTTTCTTTCTTAGATAGTTAATTGGTTATTTTTCATCAGCGATTGTTTATATCACCTCACAACTTGACATTCTGTCGCGACTTTTTCCAGCTTCTTTCTGAGCGAACTACAAATTCGATGCGAATCGAAGAACAATAAGAACTATTGATACCGATAACTACACACGCACACCTGCAATTAAACCGATGCACGATTTTTTATTTGCTGTTCTCTCACGTATACTTTATGTATACTGTCAACACTCTCACGCGCGCACAAGCTCGGTCAGCGCGGTACAGTGGTAACGAGCCTCTCGTTCTACGCTGGGACTGAAACCATACTAAGCCAGTTGTTGCTGCTGTTGCTGCGGGGTCCCGCATCGACAAACAGTGAGTGTGTGTGTGTGTGTGTGTATGTGTGTGCATGTGCGTGTGCGTGTATGAGAGAGAGAGAGAGAGAAAAAGAGAGAGAAACTCCTACTACCACGGCTAGTAATGCGTACAGAGATACACACACCTTTCCACCTGTTCCAAAGATCGGCCACAAAGCCAAAAGTCCCCCCGCTCGTCTCATCGAAGCGCAGCCGCTAGCGTTTATATGTATGGAATGCTTTTGCGAATATGTACATATTTTTATGTATTCGATAAATTTCTCGTTGCACACGTGGAGAATCCTTGTAGGGGCTAAATGATCGAGCTTGCAAGACCCCACAATCGCAATTGTAACAAAGCGCTCGCGACCACGATGTAACAACTACACGTCCCGCGCCTGATTATGTTGCTTTTTTGTATTCAATTGCCATATGTTTACCAATTCAAGACGAATATTATAATACGTGCAAGCGTTACATGAATTTGCACATATGAAAAATATAATATTTTTAGATAGTTAAAAAATCCCAGAGAAAATATATTGTCAAAATCTTTTGGTAAATTTTCTTTAAGAATGAGACGAACTAGAATCTAGAAAAAAATTTACTTTTCGTTCAAAATATTTTTTGTTTTTAGAAATTGTTTTGTTTATAGCAAAATTCAGCTGACTATTTGGCGCAAACCCACTCAAATTATTCCTCTTAAGTTGAAATTACAAGGAAATTTTGTAGTTGAGGATTTAATGACTTTACCTGAAGTAGGTGTAAAAGTTCCTAGACAGCCAGAATACTTCTTTCACTTTTTAGGGCAGATTTTACTCTATAAAACGTTCTCATAGTTAATTGTCCAAAATCCTCTATTGCGAATCTTCAAAGATTTATATATATCAATATTTGTACATTAGATTAATTAAAAAAAAAGGTTTTCAAAACCTTGACTATATATTATCTTAATGTCTTTAAAATAACTTAAAATGTATCTCCTGCAAACTTCAGCTTTTATTATTAAGGGTTACTAAATGAGTATTTTGATTTCCCATGCGTGCACTATTTCGTATGTTACTAGCAATTTTGTCCCTAAAAACGTTGTTTTTGCGTACTTCGGGAAAAGTGTATTCATTTCTTCAAATAACAGCTTATTATGCTATTGAACATTTTAAAAGTTTTTTTATTTTGTTGAAATAGAGTTGTTTTTGTGAAATGCATTTTCGTAGCTTAAAATTCGGTACTTCTGCTTCAAGTTCTCAAAAAAATACCAATATCCTCACTTTTTATTATATTCTGAGAAATCTATTGTTTTTACTGAGTCGAAATGTTGTGAAAGTTATTCCAAAATTTACAAAAAACCGAAAAAAATTTTTTTTTGAAATTTAAAAATAAATACATTTTTTTCAAAATTTTTTTTCTCTGTTAATTAAAAAAAATTGTATAGGCTTCGTCCTTGATACATTCGACAATAAATGCAATTTAATTCAACATGATTCACCGTACCGTTTTCTAGATAATGCTCTACACACGTTACACACACACATACATACACACACCCACACACACAAATATGTAACCCCGCGAAGTAATGCCTAACAGTGGTCCCGCGGGGAATAAACAAAGGCAGACGAAGAGGATGGGTTTTAGTCGGTATTAATAGAGAGGCACACTATACGCCCACACAACACCTGTACACACACAGCATTACACTACTTGAGTCCGACATATCCATGCGACAAACACCTTGTCGCATGTTGAATCCGTAAATAGGATTTCCCTCCTCTCCCCCCCCNCCCCCCCCCCCCCAAAAAAAATATGTAAAAAAATATGTAAAAAAATATGTAAAAAAAATATGTAAATATGTAAACACAAATATGTAAACCAAATTGTCCTACGAGGTCTGGTTTAAAAACTCATATCCGAACCCATCACATAGCTTCCTCTATGGAGGAAACAAAAATCCTTGACAAATCGTACATTGACTGTTAAAATGCCATCTATCAACAGTTACAATAGTGTCGATTCGATTTTTAAACATATTTTGAATCCGTTTCTATTTTAATTAAATTTCTTAATTTTTAAAATTTTAATAAATGTGACTAGATACAACCTTTAATAATTAATTAGAAGTTATTTAATTTGAAAATTTAGAAGTTCGTAAGACTAGAAAAATAGAAGAAAAATTCATAATAAGAGAAAATACCCAACATTTACAGAAGAATTGCTTATAATTAAAATTTTTGATAGCAGTTTTAATCAGAAAAATAAGTAAAGTAAAATTACCAGTATTGGACAAATTTTCGACTCCCCAAAAAAATTGATTCGGGTTGAAAATAACTTTAAATTACATTTTTTAACTCCCAAAGAGGTTCTGTTTTAATAATATGACTCTTATGAGTCCAAGTTAGCCAATATCTCGAGAAAATTTGCATCAAAGTTTAAACAAATAACACGGGTTTATATGGAAACACATACAAAATTAAGTTATTTATACAGTTTACCAAAAAAAAATCAAAGTTTTCTCACAGATAATTAAATACAAATGAAAGATAAAGTTTTCTTCTTTCTGACGGTATGTCTCAAAAGTCAGGTAATCAGTCATTTTCTCAATATTTTTGGGATGAAAGAGGCTATGATGCAAAACAAAGCCTAAACATTTTTTATTAATTTTTGTTATCATAATAAATAATCCCAAATTTTTTCAGATTTTTTCATAGAAAGCGTAACAGTCTAGAGCCGAAAAGCTATATTTTAGTCACAGAAGCCAGAGCTTCGAATGAAAAGTTTTTAAACAATATTATTCGAATTTTTTGTCAAATTTTGAAACTTTAATTTTCTAGGCATTTTTTTCGTTGAAAGCTTTCCTCTCTAATCTAGAGTATGGAAAAAATCAAAAACCATTTTAATCGTCTCTTAATTGTTCTTCAAATGTCTTCAGAATTTCATTTTTCAATATAAATGTTTATTGATTTTTTCTGAAGGCCTGAAATTTAAAAAATCTGAAAAAATTCAAGGTTGTTTAGATTGTTGAAAAGTACCTTCATTAATTTTTCAGATTTTTTAAGTAAACAATGGCTTCGGAATAGATATAGATAGAAAATATACCTTCTTCCGGAGGGTGAAGTTTAATATTTTGGTTTTGGAACTCTTTTACTGTGCACAACTATATAATATGACAAAAGTGCATCAAGATCGATGACACACGTGTACACAATTATTTGGGAAATTCGGAGCCTTACCCTCATATATTACGCGTTGTAAAAATCTTGTAAAAATCTAGCTGCTTCAAAGTTTTAGAAAGTCGATTTCTAAAAAAAAATAAATCTCACAACAAAATCTTGTTTATTTATATTATATATGAGCGCGTCCAGCATAAGTCGGCCACCCCGCGCGATTACGGCATTTTTGGCCGAAAGTGTCGTATGTTTAGCTCGCTCGGAAACGTTTAGCAAGAGTCAAAAAAATAATCCAAACCCATAGATCGATAGATTTTTTCCTCTTCTTTCTAGTGGTGTAACTCAAAAAATTCTTAAAAATTGATTTTGAGGTTAAAACTCGACTTGAATGTTTAAGTCCATTTTCCCAAAAAATGTATCCTCCGATTGCAATTTAAACCGCACCAATCGAAAGAGGAGGCAAAAATCTATCGAAAACGATGTTTTCCAGGATGGAGAAATGATAAGAACTATTAAAGATATCGAGATGAATAGCGCGGGACGGCGCGCGCGGGCCTGTTTTCCTGCCTATGTCTTTTCGACTCGCTAAAAAAATGCTGAAAAAATAATTTAAACACGTAAATCGATAGATTTTTTCCTCTTCTTTCGATTGGTAATGTTAATTTTGAGGTCAAAATTGAAATACTAGAAGAAATATTGACTTAAAAATTCAAGTCAAGTTTTGACTATGAAAAAAATTTTTGGGAATTTTTTCAATAACACCATCAGAAAGAGGAGGAAAAAATCTATCGATTTACGTGTTAACATTATTTTTCCAGCCCTTTTTAAGCGATTACGAGGGAGTCGAAAAGACAAAGACACGGCGCCGTGTGTGTGCCGCCGCTGGCGCACGAAAAACAGGTCCGCGCGCGCCGTCCCGCGCTATTCATCTCGATATCTTTAATAGTTCTTATCATTTCTCCATCCTGGAAAACATGGTTTTCGATAGATTTTTGCCTCCTCTTTCGATTGGTGCAGTTTAAATTGCAATCGGAGGATACATTTTTTGGGAAAATGGACTTAAACATTCAAGTCGAGTTTTAACCTCAAAATCAATTTTTAAGAATTTTTTGAGTTACACCACTAGAAAGAGGAGGAAAAAATCTATCGATCCATGGGTTTGGATTTTTTTTCTGACCCTTGGTAAACGTTTCCGAGCGAGCTAAACATACGACACTTTCGGCCAAAAATGCCGTAATCGCGCGGGGTGGCCGACTTATGCTGGACGCGCTCATATATGTGGCTAAATAAAACTTTTTTACCAAACCGTGCGTATGTATGTCACCGATCTTGACGCGGTATGCTATGAGTTATATAGAAAAAGAGTCCCAAAGTCAAAATTCTAGACCCCTATAGTCGCTTGCACTCTCCTGACTCGACATGCACGTCTTTTATCTATTTCCACCTATTCTGAAACTGTATTTGACCCTAAAAATCTGAAAACATTCTGAAAGTATATTTCAATCGTGCAAGCAACCTTGAATTTTTTCAGATTTATTAGATGTTGTAGGATTTCAAAAAAAGTTAGGGAAGTTTAATACTAGAGAAGCCATTAGTGCAAAAAAGTCGGGGCAGTGCGTTTTCGTTAAATTTATTATAAAGTCTTTGTTTATTTCATTTTTTTAAATTGAACTTTTAAAAATAGCAAAACTGCTAAACACAAGAAGGAGTGCGCAGCGCGTTGAAAGTAGGGCTTATTTTTTTTTAAATTCGATGCTTTCTTAAACATTTAACCATTACCTACAAACCGAGCGAGCGGTAGTGAGCGAAGAAGGCCGCTAGTTACTATTACTTATTGCAAATATCGATCAAATTAACGCATTTGTATTTTCTTTACTTATTCAAATAATTTATTATTTTTGAGTGTCAAACTGCAGTTCTGTATTTTATTGTTGTCCAAGTAAAGGGCGTTTTCTCTTGATAGTGTCATCCCCAATGTACATAGTACGAACACGAGTAGTACAGCTAAAATTTACAGACAATATAGGTACAAAATAGTTATTTATGTAACAAGTGCCCAAAAGGCGTTTTTGGGCACGAGTGTGCGGAAAAAGACACGAGTGCCGGCTATGCCGGCACGAGTGGGTGTTTTTTCCGCACACTGTGCGCAAAAAGCTGGGCACGTGTTGCATACAAAATTTTATGCAATAGGAGACGAAAAATACTTTCATTTAAATGAGGCGTTTTACCGCACACCCGTGTCCAAAATGAGGCATTTTACCGCACACGAGTGTCCAAAAACGCTTTTTGCGCACTAAAAAATGTGCGAAAAAAGACATTTTTCGTCATACTATTGCATAAAATTATTTTGCAGAACAAATATTAATCAAATATTAATAATAATTTACATATTATATTATGTAAATTATCAAACGAGACAAAAGTGAGGTTTTTGAGTCCTGCAATTGAAAATAACATTTTTGTTTTTGCTGGATTGCCGAAAATGTTACTTTCAGTTTTGGTATCAAGAACACATTACGAATAATCTTGAATGGCAGCGCGCACATCATGTTAGGTGGAATACTTCATTGGTCTTTTACTACGAATAGAACGATAAAATTGTAATTGCATATTCGTTTATGATGTAATTACGGTGAACGCACAAGCTTGTTTTCTTTTTTATATTCGATTACAAACCTGTCAGTCATCATCCTTCAAAAAATATAAATGAAATGTTTCTTTGTCGTTTACATTTCAGTTTTTTAAAAAATAATAATATAATTAACACTTTTTTTACTCTTATTTTTTACGATGAAAAAATAGCTGCCGTGAAAAAGAATACAGGTGTTGCTTATAGGGTAAATATGCCAGTTTACGGACACTTGAAGAATTTTTTTACTTTGTCCGATTGAGCTCACTGCGTATTGAATTCAAGATATTTTTTCAAAATACCATTCGATTGAAAATTTTGTCAGCTTTGAAACGAGTGGTATATCGTAATATGGTATACGAATGCCCAATTCATGTAGCAGAGTGATTTTTTGAAAAAAAAAAACTAAAATATTCAGTTTCCAGACACTACAATAGTGGTTTTTAAAATTGTCAAAATCGATAAATTACCATCGAAAATTTAAATTTCACAAAATACGTGTTCTTGCAGTCAAATTTTACTTTAATCCAATTTTTGAACCCTTCATTATTTTTATGCGAATTAAAAATGTGTATAAATAACCTTCAAGTACAATGCAATTGATGATACCACGATTAGTTTAGTTAACTACTTTTTTGTTCATCGAAATGCCGAATTTCATTATTTTTCATCTCGAAAACTATTGTGTTCAGAGAAAACATTCATAGAAAAAAAATATCTTTGGAATGATTAAAGAACATCCTTAAATTTATTTTGACTAACCGCATCGTATTTTTGGCAAATGTAGACCTCGAGGTTACGATCTGTATGCATTTTCACCTCATAAAAAAATTATAAAGGGTTCAAAAATTGGATTAATAAAAAGGTTACCTTAAAAACATATTTTTTTTAGATACAATTACAATTTTTGATGGTAACTTGTCGATTTAGGCAATTTTAAATGCCACCATTGAATACAGCACCCTAAAAAATATAGTAGTCATAGTAAATATATGGTAGTTTTCACCATTTTTCCCGTTCCAATTTAGTCGGCGTAATAGCTCAAAATTGCATGTCTTCTGAGCATTAATCGGTTAAACAGCTTAAACATGTATAAAATACAAGAGAAGAAAGATAAAATAGTTTATCTGGTTATTATAAAATGTATGAGAATTATTCAAAATCTAGTTTCCGGAAACTAGAACTCTGACATCCAGAATAACCAGTAACCAAATGTTTAAATATTCAATGCTAAAACGTACGTTTCAGGTCAGAAATTTATTTTTTAGTTATCAATTGATAATGTTAGATTTTTTTTTTACTAAAAGTTGAAAATTTTTATATTTCATTATTCTTTTCTGAAGTCTAGCTAATGATTTTTTTCAAAAATAAGTAATATTGAAATACGGGCTTACAACAATTGAAAATATATAATATATTCGAGTCAAATTAATTATTTATTTACATAAATTCATTTCACGATGCAGAAGGAAATATTTTTAAAAACTATTGAACTATGAAATCAACTACAAGCAAAAAATCGTTGCCGATAAATATCACCCATGTGTAGGTTATATTACGTCAATTGTGACCACTCAAAAATAGTATATTTCTCAACGGGTGCACTTATGGTTTTTAAGCAAAACGAGGGATTATAGCACGAGCCGAAGGCGAGTGCTGTAACGAGTTTTGTTAAAAATCATATATTCATAATTTAAAAACCGTTTCAGTTAATGACTCAGCCATTACTGTTACCGACCGAGTCTAGACAATGTAACTTTGAATAACTTTTTTATCTTAAAGTCCCAGTTAATCATAATTGTTATTCCATGTGGCACACTGTAAGGCTATTGATACAAATGATTTTAATAGTTGTTAATTCAATTATTTTCTTGGGTAACCTAGAGGTATTATCAAATCGAAAGTTGGATAATACTTTTTCCTTGTGTCAGTGAAATCGTGTATGTCCTCGTTGGTAATTTACTTTGTACCAACATAATTAACATAACAATTATGGGGTTCTCTGATGAAAAAAGTCTGTTATAAACGTTTAAGAACTTTTAAAACTCTTGTCAGTTCAAATACAAAGCATGATTTGAGACCGCCTTTATAAAAGTTTATAAAAGTTATCATTTTTAAGAGGTTTCGTATTTTTTCAAACAACATTATTTGAAAATGAATAAATAAATAAATGAATAAATAAATAAATAAATAAATAAACTATGAAAGTTAAAATATGTTTATAAAAATTCAAACGTTTATAAGAATAAATAAAAGATTAACAACGTTTGTAAAAGAAAATTTTCAGGGGTATTAACTAGGCAACAGTGAGACATTCTCTACAATTTTGACAGCTGTAATGGTAATTTTTTATTTTTCCGATAGTCTTAATTGTATACATGTTATCTTTTGATTTCCAGTCTAGATTCCAATTAATTATTTAGAATTTTATGTTATTGTGAAATTCGTGTAGCTGTACAATTCAAATCATATGATAAAAATGGCATTGGTACAACTGGTATCTACCATACCTACATTAACAAAAGTGCCGAAATTTTTTTCCATGTTTTGGACCTTGAAAAGACTTCGCATATATATATATGATTTTATGTAAAATTTAATGCTCTTTCAGAATTTGGGCTCAAACTTTTTTTTTAATTTGATGCTTCGTTAAAAAGTTGTGATTGTTAAAACAAAAAAAAATGTAAAAAGTAGTGCGAAAAATTGACTTTCAAAATTTTTTGAGATCATTTTTGAAAATTGGACTTAACGAATTTTCTGGAAAATCGCACTCCAAAAATTCTGAAAAAATTTGAAAGTGTTCCTTCATCAATCTTGAGACTTTTTTGTTCGATAAACTTTTTTCATAAACTACCTTTTTTCATATGATTACCTCTGATTATATTTATAACTTGAGTTTTTCACCGCATTAGTTCGCACAAATTTTTACGTATATTTTTTTGTTTAAACAGTTATAACTTTTTAACGAAGCATTAAATTAAAAAAAAAATTTAAGCCCAAATTCTGAAAGGGAATTAAATTTTACATAAAATCATTGAATACAAACCTTGAATACATGCGAAGTCTATTCAAGGTCAAAAACATGGAAAAAAATCGCATCGATTTGGGCTTTAATGGGGTATGCATGTTTCATTCAGCACGCCTTTTACTAATTCAACAAGTTTGTAAAAAAAGTTCAATACGCATGAATAATTTATTTGCTCAATATCGTAATAAATTAATTGTTTTTTATTCAATTGAAAAATTTTTTTATGTTTATCTGAGACATGTTCAATTTTAAGTTAAAGTATCTGCATGAGAAATAATATTCATTGTATAACTTTAGATATTTAAATCACAGATGATGATTAATTCCAATTTCTCGTGTTTCTATGCTTTCACCATTGCGTATTTTGGCGAGGATCTCAAATTTTCTCTAATGTCAGATGTTTGCACCTAAACTTCAATATGGCTACGTATCATTGGTAAACATTTTCTATAATTAGAACGAGAGATGATAAACTTTGTGCACTAATTATAGACAGAGAAAATCTTTGAAGCTCTCCCGCATTTTTGGACTATAATTATAAAATATTGTAAAAATTTAGAGTATGAAATCAAGATCGATAATATAAATTTAATATGAAATTATTTTGAGGTTTTGATCATTTTTAGGATGAGATTAGATTGTACATTTAAAATAACATTCAGAAACGTGTAATAGCTAACTCAAATTTATTTATATTAGTTTATTCAAGGCTGAAAATACTACATTGTGTAATTCTTCAACACTATTGTATTATTAATTAATCACTTAAAATACGTTTCAGTGTAAATATAGTGTCTTGCAAATTTGCGAGATGTATGAGTTTGTGCAACACCATAAATACTAGTGAAAAGTTACAAAATTAAATTTAAATAATTTCAGATCATATTTTCAGATTCTTTATTGAGTTTGCCATTGTATTAGCAGAGGTATGAAGCATTTGGCGCTCTTCACAAGTTAATGATTGTTCAACAACAGAGGCTATTCCGTCTATGCATAAGGAACAGGGAAGTGATAAGAATACTTCATGTTCGATGCCATGAAAACCCTGTTTAAAAAAAAAAAAATTAAGAAAAATTAGTTAATATAATGAATACTCTAATTTTATAACTATCAATTCAAGAAATATATTTTTTTTACGTAAGAAAAAAGATACTCACTTGATTTTGAACCTTTTTTTCCTGAGTTATTTATGAGTTAGGTTGTAAAAATCAGTGGATACAATGCAAAAAAAAATACATTCAAAATAAACTTTGTATTCAAAATTGTATAAAGATAAATGATTGATTGAAATAACTTACGCAAACGAGAGTAGAAACTGCATGAATTTGGTTTGAGTTACGAAGAATAGCTGAAGTGAGATTAGCACATGCAAGTCCAATAGCCCAAGATGTATATCCCTTAAGTTTGATAACTTCGTAAGCACTTGAAATTACTTGTTTATGAATTTCATTCCATTTCTCTTGGTCGCATTCTGTGCCAACGGTCGGGTCGATATCACGCAACCGTACCCCGGCTATGTTAACACCAGACCATACGGGTACTGCATCAAAGGAAGTCAATTATTCCGAGTTGATCGGTTATAATCTACGATGTATAGTATTTACCACTTACCACTTGTATCACCGTGTTCTCCAATAATCCAGCTGTGAACAGAGGTAGGTGCGATGTTGAATTTTTGCGCTATCAAAAATCGAAATCGGGCCGAATCCAAATGCGTGCCACTACCGATCACCCGATTTTTGGGCAAACCAGATAACTTCCAAGCCACGTATGTGAGAATGTCAACTGGATTTGAAACGATCAATAAAATAGTGTTTGGGCTGTGCTGAACAAGTTTCGGTATGATGCCTTTAAAAATTTCCGTGTTACGTTGCACCAGATCAAGCCTTGTTTCTCCTTCGCGCTGACGCGCACCGGCTGTTACGATGCATATCTTTGATCCAGCTGATGCTTCAAAATCAGTACTTGCATTGACTTTCGCGTTTTCCAAAAAACAACTGCCATGTTGGAGATCCAGCATTTCGCCTTTCAGTTTGTCCTTCATCACATCGATTAAAACCACATCGCTTGAAATTTTCTAAAATTTCATTGCATCAAAAATTATTATTCATTCATGAATTAATGATTCGTAATTTGTCGTGAAGTCTGAAGTAACATTTTTCTACATCTACCTTAGATAAAATACTGAAGGCACATGCCAATCCAACTTGACCAACACCCACCACAGTGACTTTATCATTGCCTGCATTTGTTGACTCAATAATTGAAGTAAACAATTTCTCTTTTATCGTAGACATTTTTCGATACCTGTTTAGGATGATCATAAAACCATAATACAAATAATTAAAGATTTATTATGAAATTATTGATATTATATTATAGATCATTACTGAAGGAGATTTATAAGATTGATGAGAAACTCCTTGCATAAATCTTCACCAAATTCATTTAAGTGATAAATGACATACGATGGTATTTTTTATTTTATATCGATTTCAAAATCTTTTTTGATTTTCCGCTTTGAAAATTTTTAGATTTTGTAAAGGCTTGAATTCCTTTTGAAGCCAAAACCCCCTTTTTTTGACGAAAATAATTTTATTAGGACGATACGGAGCCTTGAAAAATATGGAAAAATTTTTTTCTTGCTTTTTTCATCAAAATGCATAACCTCAAATTTTTTCAGTATTTAAATGAAGGCGATAGCTTATATAGTCGAAAAATGCTATTTTTAACAAAAGAAAGTTCCTAGAACCCGATGGTTCTAGTAAAAAAATTTAAAAATATTTTTTTTTAATTCGTTGTCAAATTTTAATAAATTTTGATCCTTTCAAGTTTCCGATTGAAGCTTCATAGCTCAATCTAGAGCATCAAAATAGTTTTATCATTCTTTAAAGTCTTCAGATACGTCTTCAGAATTTTGCATTAATCTTTGTGATTGTATGATAAGTAAACATGATTTTATTTCAACAATTTTGAACTTGAAAAGCAAGTAATTTATGAAAACAAGTTTTTTAAAAAAGAGTTTAGAATCGATCGATCAATAGAATTTTAATGGAAAATTTTTAATTATTTTTGACTTTTGTAGTCCACCATTTTTTTCAAATTAGACATGTTCTTTGATAAATATCGAGCACAACTTTTTCAAGTCTGTTAATAGTTCAATTTATTCGAAAAATTTGCTATTTTTCAATTAGAAAATGAAGCGATTCACAAAAAAGTAATGGATAAAAAAATGATTGTTATTGATCATAGAGTACTACTGTATTTTTTCAGAATTTTTTAAATTTATTTTGGAATAATGAAAAAATAAATTTTTAATAATAATTCAACTGAAAATTTTTTAAATATAGTGATACTAATCAAAGGAGAGGGGAGTAAAAAACTGAAAAAATTTCCAGTAAATGAATGTATACTCTATTAATAAAAAAAATGTAATAATATAATATTATAGATTCAAAATTGTTAACATATCTTCGTAATTTTACGTCTGTATGTTATAAATACATAATAAAACATTTTTTTTGAAAGAATGAATATAAATCATTTTAACATATGATTAAAAACTAAAAATTGATATTATATGCTTTATGCACACGTAAATTTTATTACTGGCATTTTTACGGTCTAAGAAAAAACAGAAATTTGAAGGTTAATAATTGTTTGACAAATCGTGCAGTATTTTTATGTTCGAATGAAGTGTTTTAATAGTAAGAGTTTTTATAGAGAATATTTTAATTGAAGTAATGCGATAAATAACACGAATTTCACATTTTTTAGTCAAGATTTTCATGTTTTATTGATGACGTATGCAGCATTATTTACAATTTTAATTTAATATAATAATTATATTTTAATAACAAAATTATTCGAATCTATGATAAAAGTAACGTTATTGCATCATAAAATAAATTTGAAAAAAAAATTCATTCGTGAAAGTTATTTAGGTAAAAAGACTCACTTTTTATATAAATGGAGATTTAAACTTGACTATTGTTTTATTGTTGATCTTGTGTGCCGAACACTCTACTTTGGTCGAAGACCCGACTCAATTGGTTGGCATCTATAGTGATGAAAGTACGTAGCACAGCGTACTCCTTCCAACTCGACATACGTGTGCAGACTGATAGACTACACTATCGTAGAAGCGTAGCTCGCACTCCGAAGGGCAAGTACGGTAGACGTGTTGTAGAGCACGTGCTCACAAATTCTGTGTATAGAGGGCTATTTGCGGCATGAAATGAATCAGAGAAGCTATTGTTTATTTTCATACATCGTTTATTATTTCAAAATACATATGTTCTTAAGATTTTGGGTATTGGAGCTTCTAATAATATTTTTAATGAATTATTCAAGTTTGTAACACGCGAAAAAATGAATTGTACAGAAAATTTCTTTTTTCTTTCGAGGATGATGACATTTCGAATAGAAATTCATAAAGCAGCTAGTGGATATCTACCGGTAAACGCATGCGTTAAATCAAGGGCGATTGATTTTTTTTCCTTTGCGGTAAAGTAACAATTATGAATCATAGTTTGTGAATAAGTGATACATATAAGATAATAAAAAATCCAAGGCCGTCCAATGATCTCTGATATTAAACCATTGAATGAAATAAATTATGAAAAAATTCACTCTGCAATCGAATCAAACGTTTATGAAAAAGCCACTGAAAATTCATTATCACAGAGCTTCTTCTTGTAAAGTGGAAAAAAATGTTTTTTGGTGACAATATTATCCCATTATATGACCGATGCTCGTACACTATGTATAAAACGATTCGTTTCCTAACGGAAAACGTAAACAAAGCCTTATGAGGGCCGTCTGTGTGTATAACTTCTTTGTTCTGCTCACGTTTTCTGCTGGGAAACAAATCGTTTATACACATAATGTACATAAGATGTAAATCGATTCGATTTCAAGCAACGTATACAGAGCGAGTAAGGGGCTCTGCATATGCTATCCTGTATACTATTATTATTGGTGTTGTGTATGTCATATCACCCACTTCACTGAAGTTCGGTTTTCTACTTGAAATCGACTCGATTAATATCTAGTGTTCACACAAAATTTTATATAGATATGTACAGGTGAGTTATTTTTGCTACTAAGTTATCGCTCAAGTAATAAGTCCCAAATTTTTTCTGATATCTTCAATACACACTTGTCATACTTTCACGTCTAAAGGATCCAGCTTCATTTTTATTTCAGTGTAAGCCTTTTTTTAAGCATGAAAACCTAAATTAAAAATTTCAGTTGTTCACAGCATTATTACGGAGGGCTCCACAGAGCCGTTTTTAGAAAATCGGCCTAGTATAAAAATTATTTGAATTTATACTTATAATGCTCGGTCGGTCAAAATCGGGGCTTCGGCATCACCTTAAAGGCGGAAAGAGGATCTTTACAGGATTTCAGAAACAATAAAATTAATTTTTTCGCATATAGTGAATTGAATTTATTTTTAAATTGTGTAATTATAATAAATAGTTATTATAAAAAAATTCGGTAAACACTGTAACTCAAAATCTACTTGATCAATCCTTTTCAAAATTGAATACATGCAATATGAGAGCATGGCGTCCAAATGATCTTGTGTATGATCGTTTTTATTATTATTATTATAAATTTTACAACAACAAAAAAGATGCTTTTTCTTCAATATTTTTTAAAATTCACCTAAGAATTTGTAATGTATGAAAATGAGTAATGAGTAGGGAGCCGTGGGTTATGCTTTATATGGGTCAGATTCAGAATTTTTCAAATAAACCTGCGGGCGAGGTTCACGGATTTTCCTGAAATTTTGGTTTGTTATAGTACATCATAAAAGGGTCCCATGACCAAAATTTTAGACACCCTCCTCCCTCCTACCCTCCACCCCCGCTATAAACGTTTACTATCTATTTATATTTATTCTGAAGCCCTGAAGTAATTAAAAAATCTGAAACAATTCATGAAGGTACTTTTCAACAATCTAAACAATCTTGAATTTTTTCAGATTTTTTGAGTGCTTCAGGCCTTCAGAAAAAATCATTGAAAATTACACTTGTTTTATTTTCGGTGAAATGGTTCGATGTACCAAAACGGAGTATTTTTTTTCTTAATTCTGACACCAAAAAACAATTCCTTGAATTTTTTCAGGACGATACGGAGCCTCGAAAAATCTGGAAAAATTTTTTTATTGGTTTTTTCATCAAAATACATTGCCGAGAATTTTTCAGATTTTTTAATTGAAGGCGATAGCGTCTGGAGCCGAAAAACGTTATTTTTAACAAAAAAGGTTCCTGGAACCCGATGGTTCTGTTAAAAAAAATTTGAAAATTTTTTTTTTGAATTCCTGGTCAAATTTTAATAAATTTAGACCGTTTCAAGTTTTCGATTGAAGCTTCCTAGCTCATTCTAGAACATAACAAAGATTAATGCGAAATTCTGAAGACGTTCATCATACTTGCATTATTTTTCAAATGTCTTCAAAATTTCGCATTAATCTTTGTTATGCTCTACAATAAGCTTCAATCAAAAACTTGAAACGGTCAAAATTTATTAAAATTTGACAAGGAATTCAAAAAAAATTTTTTCAATTATTTTTACTGGAACCATCGGGTTCCAAGAACCTTTTTCGTTGAAAATAACGTTTTTTGGCTTTAGATGCTATCGCCTTCAATTAAAAAATCTGAAAAAATTTGAGACTATGTATTTTGATGAACAAAAGAAGAAAAAAATTTTTCAGATTTTTTAAAGCTTCGTACCACCCTAAAAAAATTATTTTCGTGAAAAAAGCGGGTTTTCAGCTCTAGGCTCCATCGGCATGAATGAAAAATTCTGAAAAAATTCAAGGAATCGTTTTTTGGTGTCAGAATTAAGAAAAAAATGCTCCCGTCTTGTATATCGAACCATTTCACCGAAAATAAAATAGTTCAAATTTTCAATGATTTTTTCTGAAGGCCTGAAGCACTCGAAAAATCTGAAAAAATTTAGGGTTATATGGATCGTTGAAAAGTACCTTCATGAATTTTCTCAGAATTTTTAATTACTTCAGGGATTCAAAATAAATATGAATATAAAATAGACGCTTTTTGCGGGGGTGGGGGGTAGGAGGGGGTAGGGGGTCTAAAATTTTGGCTTTAGGACTCTTTTATGATGTACTATAACATATCAAAATTTCAGGAAAATCCGTGGACCTCGCCCGCAGGTTTGTTTAAAAAATTCTGAATCTGACCCATAATATGTTTACTGAGTCTACAGTGTGCTCCTTGAGCTGGCTAGCTTGTATCTGAGCCGGCACCGCGTGGGCCGTAGTGAGCGAAGCGAGGTGTCGTTATCTCGCTAGATAAGCGTACACGCACAAGTCGCATAGATATGCGCACGCATATATTACAGAATTTTTAATAAATTTGCTACAGTCGAAATTCTTTTCAATTATTTCAATTCATAGTAACGTTATATTTATGCAGTACGCAAAGTAATGCGCATGTGCCATGTTGTAGAATAATACGACTAGTGTTTTTAAAATCTCACGAATCTCGCAAAACTGCGTAAAACTGATTCTGTAGTAATCTATAGTCTGCGTATTGAGTCGTGTCGGCAAGGTAGGTGTTTGGTGGGTTTGATTCCCGATTCTATATTAAATAATAACAATAATAATANTATAAAATCTTGCAGTTGTGATTAGATCAGAGTCGAACTATTAGTCGGACGCTGGCAGGGTTTTCGTAAAAATTTCGAACTCTACGGTGTTTCTATATGGGTCATTTTCCTACTTTTTTAAAAAAGTGTGTGCGGCGGTATTTCAAAAAAATCTCAAAAAAATATATGTTATTAAACAACATAAAAAAAGACTTTTCCTAAAGTTTGAGCCCGGAAAAAACTTTTTGGAGGTGCCAAATGAGTGTCGAAAAACGTGGTTTTTTTCGCTGTTTTTTGACGACTTTTGGAAAATTCTACAAAGCGAAGTTTTGACTCGTCAGAGACGTAGTTGGTCTCATTTTTTTCGTCTAAAAAAGTATTTTTTGAAAAAAAAATCGACCCCGAGGTTTACGATGATAGCCACATCTCGAGCTTAATTCAAGTAAATAGCTAATTTTGTGGATTTTCAACAATATTCAAACGGCTCTACAGCAGTCAATTTTGAAACAATTGAACTTTTGAAACCGGCAAATTAAAGGTATTTTTAAGATCTTTAATTTGCCTTTTCAGAATTTCGATTGCTTCAAAATTGACCGATATAGCACCCTAGCTCCGTATAGCGGCATTCGAAATATTCAATTTTTTCCGATTTTCTTTACTTTTACACGAAAAAAAAGGTCAGTAAACGGTGCGAAAACGTTAGTTATAATAACGAAATTCGTATTTGTTACCACAACCGAAATATTTTAGTTATGACAACAAAATGGACTTTTGTTATCCTAACCGAGAAAATAGTTGTCGTAACTAAAAAATTTTGGTTGTGGTAACAAAAACGAATTTTGTCCTTGCAACTATCATATTGAGTTACCACTCTTGCAGAAGTAACAAGAGTAATCGCGCGAACACCGAAGAGCACTGTCAACATTTTAAATCGAGTTCTAAATGCAAAATTTAGACTCGTAACTTACTATCGCGCTACACAACACATGATGTACGCCGAACACCTACACGAGCTCGAGCAGTTGGCGGCTGCTTCGATGCACACGCACACACACACAC